GTGTTCTTTGGGTTCAATGTCGTGATATAGCTGGAATATTGCCATAGCCTAAGACCCAACTCACTCACTCGCGATCGGCTTCAAAAGGTCAGTTTAGATCTGGTGCAATGTCTTTCTATCAATCTTTCAAAGAGAGTCAAACGACCCTTGCTCAAAAGTTGTTTGATCAAGTTTACAACATTTAAGGCATCGGCAAAGCTTTCAAAACGCTTCATGGTAGATATGTGGAGGCATTCAAAATTTAATGCATTAGTGACAAATACGATGTACTTTCCTCTTGCAATAGGGCAGTGTTATTTATTGTTAAACAATGATTGTAACTGTATTACATTGTTTCTGACCCGTGAAGTCTTCAGCAATCTATGCTTGCCATAAAAGGCGACTATGCTTTTGTTGATGCATGTCATAGTATCCCAATTACGTAGCTCGATGCTTCATGATGTCAATCACTGGATTGTCTGGTCCAGAGTCGATTATTCATAGACCACCGTCATACAGTTTGAATATTGCTGAAAGCGACGTTAAACAACAAACACACAAAACATTGTTTCTGTTGATATTCAGTAGAACTTCATTGCATTGTATTTGTACAATGATTAGTTGTCTGGAATGTAGTACTATTTTTGTGTAAGCAGCGGTCAGGAAGTTTTTTTATTTAGATGTTCGAATTATTTGTAAATTCAGGAATAGCAAGGAAGGATGTCAAGCGTTATAAAAACATGTGGAATATTCTGTGATGTTCTAGTGACGCTGGACTGGTCAAGCACTGTGTGGAAAGTACGGGAAGCTGGTTAGGCTATATAAGTAAAGCAGGCGCGTGCCTGTCATCTCACGTTTCGTCCCACATTTCATCTCACATTAAATTGAGACCATCTTTCGTGTGAAGATGATTTTTCGCCCCGGTTTCAAGCATAGTCCTATCTCGGAAGCATGACCACTGTTTCGGATAGGCAAATAGTATAATCACTGAACGTTTTGATATCACCACCGCCATCATTGTTTGTATTTGATACTGCCATTGAATATTGTACTACCACTCTATTGTACAATGTCGGTTATGTAGTGCTAGCCCACTGAGATACCATGCCGAAGTTTAACTTACATATCCCACTCTGACACAGTATACTGACTCCAAACCGACCCGTATGTTGATCGCTCATCCCACCGAAGACCAGTTTCGACTCCCCACATGGATACAATGGCTGAAGCCGTTTCAGTGTTGAGTTGTAAATAAAAGTGACAAAAACAATTTCCATAATCATTAAAAATCTCTGCTAAATACTGAGTCTATTGTATCCTATCCAAACGGTGGCCCAAACAATAACTCGGGATAATATGGTGCGAGTCAAAATAGAGAATTGCATCGGACATCATTGTAGTCACGGATGCGTCAGATTTAGAAATGTCCTCCACATGACTGCCATACACCAAGGCTGTACTGTTGCCTTGAATGCTGTAATCCTGATCAAAAGACTTTGAGCAAGAGTCGTATGACCAACCTTGAAATGTTCGTAGGAGCACTCCATTACTCCATTTTCAATCCATTTATTCTGAATTAGAGAAAATAGCAAAACCGTTCGTATTCTTGATTGTCCAGAAGGTATTCAAATTGTAATTCTAGCGTGTTTTGTTACAATTTCTACAACCATCATTACAATAGAAAATGCCCCGTTGATTTCCAAGAAATAACCTGGCTCAGTTCAAACAGTACAAGGGTGGCCCAGTCTTCTAAGGCGCCGCGATTCGCTGTGCAGAGTTGCGTCCTTTGGGCACGCCAGAAACCTATGATTGTGGATTCGAATTCCTTGTTCGCCCTGGTCATGTTTCTAGGTTTGTCAGCACCATACACGGGTTTCACCGAAGTGGTAAACGTCTGAGACCTGCATCACTTTGGGCTTTCCTCCCACATTAAGCTGACACGCCGTAACATAACTGGAATACTGTTAAATGCGGCGTTAAACCCAACTCACTCACTCAAATAGTCCAAATAGGCTTAAGATGAAATCAAATATATATCAAGGGAGGGTCTTTTAATTCTTTGTTAAAAATTGCGAATGTTGTAGCAAATGTTTTGAACAAGTCAAGAATATATATCAAGTAATTAATCTGAACTTGAGCAATATGTTTTACGTTTGTCACAACCATGACACCTTTTTGACACATTCTAAGATAGTTGACCTATTTTCCCTTGTATTTTGGAATTTGAGGAAGTCTAACTATAGGTAAGATTCCACTTTTGATACACATTTGAAACCTCACACTTAAGTGCAAAATAAGCGGCACCTACAGACTGTCTTAAATTTAAAAACACTGTAGGTTTATCTTCCTTGGTACACATGAGCTCAACGTGAATTCCTGCAGTTGTAAGTCGGACGTGTTGGGTTGAAATACTCTGACAATGGATGACATTATATGTTTCCGTGACAACTGAATGTTAGCAAAAGATGAGAAAAATGTTAAAATCGAATTTGACTGATATATGTTGAGCCACTATTTTAATTATTGTGGTGTCCATTTCTCCATTGTAAAAATCAGGATTATCAAAAATACAGAAAGATGTATTCATATGCAATGATAAGTCCGAAGGCTTGAAGAGAACAAAAAATCGTTTTTAACCAGTTTGCAGCTTACACTCTCATACATTTACAGTATATAAAAATATATTCGAAATTTGACATATCAGTGACCAAAATGGTTACAGTTACAATTTCCTTTTCTCATGTTGGTGTACAGTTGACTTGCTAGACTAACATTTAGTCTCTGAAATCTTATATTACATAATATCCTTCTTGACTCTAAAAATAAAAAAAATATTTCCCTATGCTGATGTGGAATAGAGCTAGCTTGAGCTGGCTAGACTTGCGTTTCTAGATTATTATTTTTTAAAATAAAATAAATATATTCCACGGTCATGGTGCAGGACTATTGACTTGCCTTTGCATGCGTGTGTGTGGTTGACACCGGTGGGGCAGCATGCGAAGGAAACATCACTATTGAAACACCTGGTAACTTCACTATTTGATAGTGATTCATAAACACATTGTCATGATATAGTTTGAATAGCACACATGCTTTATGCAGAGGATTCATATGATTAAGGAACGTATTTCCATTAGCAAAGGATGAGAAATACATTTAAATCGAATTAGACTGATACATGTAGAGCAACTAATTTCATTATTGTGGTGTCCATTTTTTCATTTCCAAAATCAGGATTAACAATCCGAAGGTTTAAAGAAAACAAATACCATTTAAAATCGTTTTTTACCAGTTTGCAGGGTACACTCTCATACATTTACAGTATATAATTTCACACATTAATTCGAAATTTGACGCATCAGTGACCTAAATGGTTACAGTTTACAGATTTATTCTCATGTTGGTGTACAATTGACTTGCCTTTGCATGCGTGTGTGTGGTTGACATCGTTTGGGCAGCATACACCTGGAATCATCTCTATTTAAACACCTGGTAGCCTCACTATTTGTTTATGATTCATAAACACATTGTTATGATATAGTTGGAATAGTACACATGCTTGATGCAGAGGATTCTGATGATTAAGGATCGTATTTCCGTTACGCTCACCTTTTCGCAAACACCTAGTGTCATCACTATTTGATAGTGATTCATGTACACCAACACAGTCAAGGTAGGGTTGGGCATAGCCATCAGGTCTCCCTATTCTTTAGACAAGGCTTCGGGACCTTTTCGCGAACACCTGGTGTCATTAATATTTGATAGTGATTCATGTACACCAACACAGTCAAGGTAGGGTTGGGTATAGCCATCAGGTCTCCCTATTCTTTAGACAAGTCTTCATAAACCTTTTCTCGAACACCTGGTGTCATTACTATTTGATAGTGATTCATGTACACCAACACGGTCAATGTAGGGTTGGGCATAGCCATCAGGTCTCCCTATTCTTTAGACAAGTCTTCATAAACCTTTTCTCGAACACCTGGTGTCATTACTATTTGATAGTGATTCATGTACACCAACACGGTCAATGTAGGGTTGGGCATAGCCATCAGGTCTCCCTATTCTTTAGACAAGGCTTCGGGACCTTTTCGCGAACACCTGGTGTCATTAATATTTTGGGGCACGAGTGGTCCAGTCGTCTAAGCCGCAGCGATTCGCTGTGCAGAGTTGCGTCCCTTGGGCACGCCAGAAACCTATGATTTTGGGTTCGAATCCCGGTTCGCCCCGTTTATGTTTCTAGGTTTGTCAGCACCATACCCGTGCTCGTGGGTTTCACCGAAGTGGTAAACGTCTGAGACCTGCATCATTTCGGGCTTTCCTCCCACATTAAGCTGACACGCCGTGATATGACTGGAATACTGTTAAAAGCGGCGTTAATCCCAACTCACTCACTCACTCATCATTATTTGATAGCGATTCATAAAGACATGCTTATGATATAGTCGGACTTGTACAATCGATCTGCTTTATGCAGAGATTTCAATTGGATATGGAAAGGGTTTGGTCGCTTTATTATCATGGTCTCTGTTCGGTGTTCTGTCTTCATTTCAAGATTCATCATATTCCGTGTTTTGTCAAACATTAGTGTTGTTCAAACACTTTTTTCCCTCCATCTCCCATGTTTTCCAAGACACAATAGTCAAGATCCGTAGCTCTTGAAGCATCAGGAACTTGTTCATCCGGAAAATGAGGAAGGAAACGCCTGGTTTAATGTGGCCATAAGGACAGGCTATCAGCACAGTGGCAAACAACACGTGTAATATACAGTAGTTGTGTCTTGTGCGGTATACTTTGTCTTGTAGGATGGCTGCTGTCTGGTCATGGTGCGTTACAATGTTTCCCATTCTGTTACTGATGCCGACTTTGTCTTGTAGGATGGCTGCTGTCGGGTTATGGTGCGTTACGATGTTTCCCATTGTGTTACTGATGTCGACTTTTTCTTGTAGGATGGCTGCTGTCTGGTTATGGTGCGTTACAATGTTTCCCATTGTGTTACTGATGTCGACTTTGTCTTGTAGGATGGCTGCTGTCGGGTTGTGGTGTGTTACGATGGTTCCTATGCTGTTCTTCATTCAAGCCATCAATGGCCTGAAGAACGGCTATGTGAGGGAGTTGAACTATATGTGTAAACCACGACCAAAGGCAGGATTAATGGCCGTGCCTTGGGACTGCAATGGATTTGTGCAGTGTAACCATTATTTTGCAATATGGACAAACTGTGCCACCAGCTTAGTGTTTGACCCTGTGCAACAGACCTGTGTGTCCCCTCCCGTCTCAGGACCATGCAGATATCCAGAAGGTACACACAGAAACGGTTGACACTATTATCTCTTTATGGCTTCGCTGTTTGATATGAACCAATAATTTTAAACCATTTGGCATGTATTTGTTATACTTAAAAACTAATTTGTCAAGAAACAGAAAACAGGAATGTTAATAACATTAAGATATAACTATTAATATGGTATGTTTTAATTTTTGTTTTTCTCAAAAATAGCAGTTTTGTCTTTGCCTCAGAACCATAGGGTCCATTAAGAATAACAATAATTCTTCTCTAGACATTTTTTTGGTAAACGATCTTTTACAATTATTCTGAAATTTAGGTGCTAACATTTTCAGAGAGAGCTAAAATGTTCTGCCCTGGAATGCCTGGGCTGAAGTTCCTCCACCCCAAGAGCTGCGCCATGTTCTACGACTGTAGCCAAGTGGTACCCCAGTTTGGTCTCGGCCTGTATGAGAACGAGTGCAAATATCCCATGCTGTTTGACAAATATGAACTCGTGTGCAAGGAGCCAGAGAATGCTAAATGCGGAGACAGTCCCAGGACTCGTGATAAATGTAAGTATGGCATTCTTATCAATATCTCCAGAAACTAGGACGTGGAAAATGGGCTTCTGATAGTCCATAGTATGGCAATGTTTGGATATTTGAATCGACTGGAGTGACATTGCATACATATGGATGTTACGTTCAAACAGAAGGGACTTCCAAAATGAACAGGAAATTATGATGGTCGATGGGCGCATTTTGAACGAATTTTACTTCCCAATGCTCTGTAAAGTATACGCTGACTTTCGTCTGTGAACATATCAGGAATGTGCCAATACCAAAATATCTGTAAAAATTGTTTCAAGAAGCTGTTCCAGTGTCTATCTACATTTAGATAGTTCTCTTTAGTATGAATATGAACATGTTGTACGTGTATTTAGGATTAGGAGACTATATATATTGACAAACATGATCGAATTTGAATATAACAAGATCGGTCTAAATATTCTTGTTAGGCAAAGAATTTAATAGCGTCTCAAGACACAAGACGCGATAGTTGCAAAAACGTTCTTTAGGACATTGATAACTGATTCGTCGGATTCCTAAGTGTAGTGTACAAAAAAAATAGAATATTAACTTAGTATTGATTTAAAGGTGGGGATCAATGGCCATGCGCACCAAAAATGGTTACCGTCTACAATGGTTCTTAAGTAAGAAAAGTGTCTGTTAAAAGAGTTTGGGAAATGCAATGCTGATACAGTTTCGACTCATTGTACTCTTTACCCAGGCTCCTACCAGCTGGAGTGTTTGGACGAGGCGTGTAGAGGTCTTCCCGACGGCAAGAACCCTGTGGTGGGAAAACTCTTCCTCCCGGAGTATCTGGAGTGCGCCTCCCAGCTCGTGGTGTCCCGATCTGCCTGCACTGGGAGCATGGTGTTTGACCCGGTCGACCTTCAGTGCTCAGAGGATGTCAAAGGTATGACGTGTGTTCTCCCAGGGAGTTCTGAAGTAACATTCCGTTATTATTCGGGGGGTACAGCGAGTGGGCTTTACCGATTTTATCTGTGTGGAGCATAACGCCATGGTATCGGCAAACAGTGAAGGCTTACTATATGATGAAGTGACTGTAGATGCAGGTTTATCCGTTCATTTAATATGCACAGCTCTTTTGCCTTTTGTAGATAGTTATATTTGATATATATGTACCTTGTAATACGTTTACTCTGACGGCTGTGTCGCTTTGTGATGATGTTCCTCACGCCGCGTTCGATGTACTGGGACGACGCTATCGGGTACATCGGCAAAGTATTTGTTAAACTCTGCAATTACTCATAATCAGTCATCACGCAATCACTATCCAAATCAAATAAAATCACTACTTCTACTCTCCTGTTTCAACAGTTTTAATTCCTCACTTCAGTGAGTGAGTGAGTGAGGTTTTACGCCGCTTTTGGCAATATTCCTGCAATATCACGGCGGGGGACACGAAAAATGGGCTTCACACATTGTACCCATGTCGGGAATCGAACCAGGGTCTTCAGCGTGACGAGCTAACGCTTTAACCACTAGGCTACCCGACCGCCCCTTATCACCCACTTCAACTACCACAATACTACTGACTGCGCCTATGACCGCAACGACCACGCCGCCACTATCTAGAACAACTACAACGAGTCCTCATTCACTACAACTTCTACTGCTTCTAAATCGACTACGACGACTGCTACTATTGACTACATCTGTTACTGCGACCACTACAACTTCAACTATCAACTACAACGATAATTATGACTACTTTGTTTACCATTTCAGCGTCGATCACCAAGATATGCGAGCGGCTCCCGGGTCTGAAGTTCCCTGCGTCTACGAGCTGCTCCAAGTACTACGACTGCAGCACCGTCTCCTGGAACTCCGCCCTCGACCCCTACCAGAGGGAGTGTCCGTACTTCCAGCTGTGGGACCCCATCACCTTCACCTGCAGCCAATACACCAGTGTCACCTGTGACGGCAGGTTCCAGCCCAAGGCGCCATGTGAGTGAGTGAGTGAGTGAGTGAGTGTGAGTGAGTGAGTGAGTGAGTGAGTGGGTGAGTGAGTGAGTGAGTGAGTGAGCGAGTGAGCGAGTGAGTGAGTGAGTGAGTGAGTGAGTGAGTAATGAGTGAGTGAGTGGCTTGAGTGAGTGAGTGGCTTGAGTGAGTGAGTGAGTGAGTGAGTGGGTGGGTGGGTGAGTGAGTGAGTGAGTGAGTGAGTGAGTGGGTGAGTGAGTGGGTTGGTGGGTCGGCGAGCGAGCGAGCGAGTGAGTGAGTGATTGAGTGAGTGAGTTGGATTCAACGCCGCTTTTAACAGCATTACAGTCATATCACATGTCAGCTTAATGTGGGAGGAAAGCCCGAAGTGATGCAGGTCTCAGACGTTTACCACTTCGGTAAAACCCACGAGCACGGGTATGGTGCTGACAAACCTAGAAACATAATCGGGGCGAAACGGGATTCGAAGCCGCAATCATAGATTTCTGGCGTGCCAATATTCCTACTATATTACAGATGATTTGTTTGCCAGCAGTATTCCGGGTATATGACTGCGGCCTGTAAATAATCGAGTCAGGGTCAGACAAACCAGTGATTGATATTATGAACAACGTCCCGATTCGTCGGGGTAAAAAGACATGCAATCAACCAGCTCTCCTCTTAGGATGGCATAGATACTTGGGACATTTCTGACCCTGAATCCCTCACGTGGGATTGAGGGGTAAAATTGGTGCTAAGCAACCAATGTTGACAATCTCATTATAATCAGATCTAAGTTCTCGCTGCCGCAAAACAAAGATCTGAGGACATCCCAACCAACACTCCCTCCCAAAATACCCCGCAACATACCCCACCATCACAGACCTCACCCTGACCGACCTCTTGACCTCTGCTACAGGTGACTACACAGTCGGGCAGTGTGCCACGGGCACCTGCATTCCGTGTGAGGCCACGTGTGTCGGAGCCATGGATGGGAAACTCGCCTTTCCAGGCAACAACAAGAAATACATTGAATGCAAGGACGAACGGACAATCAGCATCGACAACTGTGCCGGGAACTACGTCTTCTGGGAGGCCAGAGGGGCGTGCGTGGACCCAAGCATCGGTGAGTACCAGAAACACAAGAGTTTACCTACGATAGAGACGGGTCCAAGCCTCTTTGTCAATTAATATTTCGGTGAGAATGGAGTTTTGTCATTCTTACATGTATACATCAGCCTTACCAATAATTATTGATATCAAACCATACGAAGCGTCTTAAAATCTCCTACTTGTGGCTCCTCCACGTGTGAGGTGAGGTGAAATGGGGTTTAACGTCGCGTCCAAGATTATTGCACTTATATAGGGACGTGCATGTACGTGTGTGTGTGTGTGTGTGGCTGCTTGTACTAGTCCGGACTGATGCCGATTTATAGTGCTAGCTCACTGAGATACCATGTCGCAGCTTAACATGAATATCCCACTCAGACACAGTATACTGACTCCGAGCCGACCAGTCCTTGTTTTAGCCCCTTAATGCCGAGCGCCAGACAGGGTAACAGCAAGTACCATCTTTTAACGTCTTTTGGTATGACGCGGCCTGGGATCGAACCCCGGACCTTCCGCTCTCCGGGCGGACTCTCTACCAGTAGACCACGGAGGCGGTCTCCTCTAAATGTATGGTTTTATTTCTGAGAGGGGTGGAACAAGAAAGTCCTGCGTTTTTTTGTTTGTTTGTTTGTTGTTTCACGCCGTACTCATCAATAATTCCAGTTATATGACGGCAGTCAGTAAATAATCTAGTCTGGACCAGACAATCCAGTGATTGATATCATGAGTATTGATCCACGCAATTGGGATACGATCACATGCATCAACCAAGTCAGCGAACCTGACCACCCGATCCCGTTAGTTGCCTCTTACGACAAGCATTGACGCCTTTTACGGCAAGCATGGGTTGCTGAAGACCTATTCTACCCAGGATCTTCACGGGTCAGGAGGTCTCATCAGTCGGCTTGACGTGGGACTGACGACAACTGTGGTATTTAGACGTGATATATTAGATAAAAAAAACGGTTAGGTCGCTCACCGAAAAAACAAACCGTCACAAATCTATTTAATCGATATTTAAAAGGTCAAAAGTGCGAGAATTCTCATTGGTTCTATGACCTTACCACATGTAGCCATTATGTGGCCTCGACGGACGTCGTGATGTGGTTTGTAGAGTTGCCTCCCTTAGCAGTCCGACTCCGCTCGTTAAAGTGCTGGGCCCTGTTCCACAAAGCGATCTTAATGCTGAGACAGTCGTAGCACTACGATCGCTTTGAGAAACGGGCCCCGGACATTTCTGGAGTGTGACCTCCATCCGTCAGCATCAGTACCCAATGCTTATTGATTTCAACAAAGTGTATGTCTATCAAAGGTACGTAAAACCATGGTTACCCTATATGGTTCTGTAAACTTTAATAAGGCGTATCCCCTGGTGTGTTTATATGTGTATAAAACTGCTAAATTAAATATTTCCCCGTTTCATTACACACCGCCTCTGTGGTCTAGTGTTTGACCGTCCGCCCGGAGAGCGGAAGGTCCGGGGTTCGAGCCCCGGCCACGTCATAGAAGGCGTTAAAAGATGGTACTTGTTGTTACCCTGTCTGACTTGGCATTAAGGGGCTAAAACAAGGACTGTCGGCTCGGAGTCAGTATACTGTGTCTGAGTGGGGTATTCATGTTAAACTGCGGCATGATGTGTAACTGAGCTTGCTCTATAAATCGGCATCAGTCCGGACTAGAACAAATAGCCACACACACACAAACACACGTGCATGCTCGTCGCTATATCATAAGTTGTAGTTGTCGGGGTTAAACCCCATTTCACCTCACCTCACCATTCCATTGCATCAAATCCATTCCTTTGCAACATCCGGCGTCGCTCCCATAAATGTACGGCTCTCTGTGCCACTTTTACAGTGCCATTGACGACGACGATCATGACGACAACTTCTGAGGAAGCCACAACTGTTTCTGCTGCCACAACCAGTACTACTGCAACGACAACGACTACTACAACAACTGAGGCAACAACAGCTCCTACCACGACTGTTACCACGGAAACTACAACTACAACTACAACCACGGCTGCGCCATCAACGACAGTTACTACTACAATTACCACAACTACACCTACTGCATCTCAAACAACTACATCGATGACGACACCAACGTGTACCACCAACGACTGTATCAGAGACAATAGGATAGCAGCGCTGGAAGATTTCAAACGGAAAACGGAGTTAGGTAAAGATTATTATTCCATTTTTTTAGGTAATTAATTATTAAAATGCGGTAATGCACACCTCTTTAATATTAAACTATATTTTCAGAAACTATTTTGCCTACACAATCAGAATTACCTTCAGTGCATGACCTCGCGTGTGCATTTTTTAGATAAAAGAACCGACAAAACAGTTAACAAAAAGGGAATGAAAACTTTTAACTTTGTTTTCCTGCAGCCAACAAATACTGTTTTCCTCCCCCAAGCGACCAATCAAACAGAATTGTCTCCCTTTCCTATTCTGCGGGTGTCACAAGAGCCTCCTACGCATGCTCCACCGGATATTCAATATGTGGAGTTGCTGCCATTGGGACATGCAAGGGGGACCAGTGGAAACAACCCCCTAGCCGGTGTGTAAGGAATGTGTGGGGCCCGCCGGTAAGGAATTTGTCACATATACTGAGGGAAACAAATAAGGGAACACCACTTTATAACACTGTTCCTTTATTTATTTCCAGATTTTCACCCACAGAACAATTCAAAGCATGCGAAGAATCCTGGAAAAGGCTAAAGGAACGTGTACTTTCATGTGTTCCCTTATTTGTTTTCCTCAGTATATATCTTGCGTGTGAGGAACGCCTGATTAACTTACTTCTTTACGTTTTTTAGCTGAAACGAAACAAACACTGAAGGGCTGATTTTTTCGGATTGGGAGCCTGAGGACGACCTTATACACATGCAAAACACACAATCTTAAAGAATGTACATCATTTTTTTTATCTGACATCGAATTTATTGACTGTTTTCTTGGGTCGCCGGTTTGAAAAGCGACCGAGATGGGCATTAGGTGTCTGTTTTGTTAGACAATCGTCCCAGGGATTACATGAATGCTAATTTCAAATTGGTTTTAATTATTTTAAAGAAATGTTTTAATAACTGTTTTGGTCCAGTGGCGATGTGGTTACCAGCTTAATAGTAGTTAAGGCATCCGCTCGTCACATCGAAGGTCAGTTTCAATTTCTCACAGGGATACACTCTGTGAAGCCCGTTTCTTTTGAATGAGGGGGCACGGGTGGCCCAGTCGTCTAAGACGCCGCGATTCGCTGTACAGAGTTACGTCCCTTGGGCACGCCAGAAACCTATGGGTGTGGGTTCGAATCCCGGTTCGCCACGATTATGTTTCTAGGTTTGTCAGCACCATACCCGTGCTCGTGGGTTTCACCGAAGTGGTAAACGTCTGAGACCTGCATCACTTCGGGCTTTCCTCCCACATTAGGCCCTGATATAACTTAAATACTGTTTCAAGCGGCGTTAAACCTAGCTCACTCACTCACTATTTTGAATGACGTGACGTGACTAAGTCTGTATGACATTTCTGTTTCAGATGACTGTCTCTGACGTCCAGGTAGGATGCCCTCTGACCCCCTGGTCCAGGATTCAGGTGGTTGGTGTCCTCGGCAGCTTCAACTCCACGTACGTCCGACTGACTCAAACAGACACCGCCCATGTTCGTGAGGCACACGTCATGTGGTTCAGATTTGCGAGTCCTCAGTAACGCCCTAAAACCTGAAAATATGACGTGTTTCGATATTGTACAAGATGTTATCAGGAAAGTTCCGTAACACCGTCAATCTTCGTGAACTATCACACTGGGGTGACATGACGTCACGCTGGAGTTGTATGCCGTCATGATATAATCGTTGACGTCATATGTATATCTGATATATATATATATATATATATATATATATATATATATATATATATATTAGGTATGTTTTGTTTTGTTTGTTTTTTGTTTAACGCCGCACTCAACAATATTCCATCTATATGGCGGCGGTCTGTAAATAATCGAGTCTGGACCAGACAATCCAGTGATTGACATCATGATCATCGATCCACGCAACTGGGACACCCTGATAATACAGGAAATAATAATCATATCCCTAAATTAAATACCATGCTCTGCTACTGGTGTAATTTTAAACTCCATGAGGAGTATATATTCATTAGCGATTGCAAGTCCCATGAACGAAACATTGCATTTCAGGAGCTTTAATCTGATGAAGGAGAATGACTCACTTCTTGAGGTGACCTTCACCTTCGTGGATTCAACGCCACCTTGCCGCGTGGAGGTCAGTCGCACGGCAGCTTCAAGTACTGTTTTTGAGGGGTCAAAGGAAGTTGACCTTTATCCTGGCGATGACCTTGACCTAAACGTGCGGTTGGGAATGAATGAATATTTTGTGAGTGCATATTTATTGTTTAAAATGATTGTTTTAAGATTATTTACGACTAAAGGATTGTAATGTAACTAATATGTATAATGAATTGTCTGTGATTGGATATTGTAATTAATATTGTGTCCAAGTGAGTGAATGAGGTGGGCTTAACGCCACTTTGAACAGTATTCCAGTTATATCACAGCGGGTGAGCTTGATGTGGGAGGAAAGCCCGAAGTGATGCAAATCTCAGACATTTTGTACAAGATTGCACGATGATAGACTTGAAGCATTCCGTTTCCAAAATAAATTAAGCAAATAATTTAAAAAAAATCAAATGCATTTGTTTTCATTTAAAGACTTGGAAAACTTTTGATAGATGTTTTTAAAACAATATTTCAATATTTTTTTCAATGATCACATGAACGATTATTTGCATTACACTGTTATTAAAGGGCAGGTGTTCAACCGTTGCATGATGATTTACAAAACCTTTTCCAGGTGTTTATTAATGACATAAACATAGCAACTGTACCCTACGTTGACCAACCGACCACAGCTGACCGCATCGTGGTGGACAGCGGATTGCAGCTGGGCAGTAGACTAGAGATATCCAACTCAAGTAGGTTGTGCCCATGAGACCGCCCATCCTCGATAAGCCTGGATATATATCTCCACCCTGTGTTGATAAATACTCTAGACTCTGCTACTGCGTCGTTGCGGAAGTGACGTCACCAACTGGATCACGGTCTTAGCAGTATCTTCACAATTTCTCCCGCTCTGTGACTAAAATGACTGGCAGCTTTGTGTTGCATAGCATGTGGTGAACAGGTCCAGGGTATTTAACATGATGGAATGGAAATATAACACCCTGGAGAATCGAGGATGGCATGTGGGTATTTTGCGTTACAGAATCTTTAAATTCTTGTTTTATGTAAAACATCTCAACAACAGGGTAGGTCGTTGGAATGTATGTTGAAATTTAACTGAAAAATATCTCATAATTTAATCAAGAGTGGATACAAAAGAGTGGAACACTTGGAACGGTTTTGTGAATCAAAGAACTACCCCTCTTTCAATACTGAGCTATTTTGAATACAGTAAACTACGGTTATAACGAAATCAAAGGGAGTACGTTATAACCGTAGTTCGTTATAAGCATATATACAGCATAACTACAGCAAAAAGTCGGGACCAAAAAAGTAAATTCGTTATATCCGTCAGATCGTTATAAGCGTGTTCGTTATAACCGTAGTTACTGTATATGTTTTACTGAAAGTAATCAACAGCAAGGAAAATATCTATCAAAACATTCCACATGTCAATACATATTGAGGACATATTCTGTCGGCTGAAACTTAAACCAATAAACGCGAAAAAATGAACATTGAAATTGACATCACGAGTAGGAAACTGAATCATCTTTGCGGTACCCCCATCGGTGTTCCGGGATATAACTGGCCCCGGTCCACAAAACGATCGTAGCGCTAAGGTGGTCGTAACTTCCATTCTTTAACAAAGGCTTACGACAGTCGCAGCGCTGCGATTGCTTTGTGGAACGAGGCCAGTGTCTCCACCAAAGTCACAGTCTTCTATGTTGTAAGAGGCGACTCAACAGATCAGGTGGCCAGGCTCGGTGACTTTTTTTCTTTTTTTCTTAAATTGTTTTTATTCATTCCAGAGGGTACATAGTCATCGTATCATAAGAGGCATCAAATTACATGTTAATTATAATGAGAAAAATGTACAGGGTGTGATATGACAGTTAGCTCACCTTTGATACAGTATAATAAGTGTAAGAGGTATAGATTAAGTAAGCTAATCCGTCTGCATTATGGTTTTCCCCATTAAACTCCATTTTTTTGTGAAAGAAATTATTGTTCCGTATCTTTTTGCAAGGAACAACTCGACATGGTAAATATCTTTCAGTATATTTCTATATGACTTAAAATATGGTTTTACTCCTTTAATATGTGTTACGTAAATGTGTCTTTTTGCTTATATCAATAAGTGATTAAATAAGATGTTGTTTGTATCTCCAAAATAGATATCTTGTTTTGTAATGAAAACATGACCGAAAATAACGTTTATGAAAGCATTAAATTCTAAACATACTAAATATACATGAGCGATGTTTTCACTGTCTGAATTGCAAAATGAACATAGGTGTATATAATTTTGTGTAGGAATTTGAATTTGATTTCATATAGTTTTGTATCTATTGTAGATTTTCTATATTGTAAAAATACATATTTCCAATTTATTTGATTGTTAAATTCATGTTCCCACTTCTCACGAATTTGGGAAAAGAGGCTCGGTGACTTTGTTAATTGCATGTCATCGTATCACGACAGCCGGGATCTCGTAGCTCATCACATCAATCGGTGTCTGGTCCTGGACGCTGTCATATAGCTGGCATATTGCTAAGTGCGGCGTTAAACAATACCCTTGGTTGAATGCGTCATCGTAACTCGATGGCGTCAATCTGGTACCTCAAGATATCAATCAATGGCTGTCCAGGACGCTGTCATGTAGCTGGAATATTGCCAACTGCAGCGTTAAATTTTTTATCAAAACAAAAAATATTTTCCCGACCTCTATCCCCAACTACGTGAGACTCAGAAATAAATTGAGGAGTTAAGCCACTAGCCCCATTATCCTCTAAGAAACGCGCTCTCCATACCAAATATCATCTACTGTTACACCAGACCTTCTGCAGCTGGAAACGGACGGCACCACCGCCATCGACCTCTCAACCAAAGGCTACATCGTCGACGGCAACTTCTTCACCTTCGGAGTCGAGGCATGTGAAGACGTCACCGTCACCTTCAGCCTGTCGTCGTCAGACTTCGATACCATCACCATCAACCTCGGCAGCAACGGTAACACCGTCTCCACCGTCAGAGCTTGCAGCACATGTACGGTGATGACCAAGAGGCACAGTCCTCTTGTGTGTGGTCAGTCCAGGCAGTTCTGGGTTTCCCTGTACAGCATCAACCCTGTGAAGGTCAATGTTGGAACAGGTTTTGTGGACAATCGTTGGGCCAATCTGATATTCCAGGGTGCTGGTTACCGACCAACTAGTGACTTGGGAGAAGGTGTGTTTCAGAAAGTTACCGTTATGTCAAACAAAGGCAAAGCACGATGGAGTATATGTAAGTACTGTTATATTTATTTTTTTATTTTGTGAAAAAAAACCATCCCATAAATAAGATAGCAGACACACACAGAGACAGACAGACAGAGTCACACACAGACACACACTTGAACCCGACGTCAAGCCCATTTCACCTCACCTCACCTCACCTCACCTCACCTCACCTCACCTCACCTTATAAAGTTGTTTCAGTACTCTAGGCTTCATGCCTTTGTGTACAAACGTTATGGTACAGGCGGAATTGCAGTTAACCGAACATTTCATTCCATATGAGCATAGAACAAATATTTTGCTAAATTTGTTTACTAAAGAAATTGTACTATAGTTTCCTCTCCGGGAGCAAACCAATCTCATTGAAATCAGATCTTAGTTCACGCTACCGCTAAACAAAGATCTGAGGACATCCCATTACGGGTCACGTCAGACCGACCTTGCGCGAACTTTGACCGACCAATTGAATGACCAATCAGAAGGCAGCTTTCTCGTGCTTTACGGCACTAATTTCAATTGGCGACTACGCTTCGAAACATATTTTGACAAATTCTCGATTACAAATTTGAAACCTGAACAAAGAAAATTCTGGAATGGCTAATAGATGGTCTAGATTCTATGGATTCGGTCGTTAAACCCGTAACTATCGTTTGGAGTTAAAGTTTTCGAGGTTGCATGTTTAGAAATCACATTCTGACTGTCACTTTCATAATCTGGTAAGCGATGCTCTTATTGGTTGGATGTAAGGTCGTTCTGACGTGACCCCTAATGGGATGTCCTCAGATCTTTGTTTAGCGGTAGCGAGAACTGAGGTCTGATTTTAATGAGATTGGGAGCAAACGAACATGAACTAAAGGATTTCGGGGCATCCTAGGCCCCTAGTTCCTCAGTCTTGTCTCGGAATGAATTTTGTTTGTCAGGAGAGTCGATTATATTTCGGTAAGTGTGATCAGGTGTGACTTGACCGATGTGGTACGCATTGGGCCTTGCTCATAAAATCAGCTACTTGTTCGTGTGACAAGGACTTGAATATTTATTGGCCATCATATAACTGCTGTTCCTTTGACAAGCCAGAAACCCATGGGTTCGAATCCAGGTTCACCCCGATCATGTTTCCTAGTTTGTCAGCACCATATCCGTCCTCGTGGGTTTCACCGAAGTGGAAAACGTCAGACCTGCACCACTTCGGGCTTTCCTCCTGAATCAAGTTCCCAAGCCGTGATATAACTGGAATACTGTTCAAAGCGGCGTTAAACCCACTCACTCACTCACTCACTCACTCACTCACTCACTCACTATAACTCCAATACTATTAACCGCAGCGTGACCGATGGCCACTGCCAGACAGAGTTCAAAGTTCACCATTTACTTTCAATGACAGCTCAGCCGGACATTGAGCGGTGTGGCTCGCCACTTCCGATGCCGAACAGTATTCCCCTTCTCCTGCCGGAAACTGCCGAGGTGCAGTATCGGTGTTCGGAGGACTTCGCCTTTTGCGGAACCTCGGATAAGATGACTTGTGCCAAAGACAATCTGTGGAAGGGGCTGATGGGAACTTGCGTGAAATCCGTTTATAAGAATATTCAGAAGGTAGGTGCTGGTTCGTAAAGAGTTTCTCCAGGATCTGCGACTATCTGGTAGATTTACCTGCTCCTCGGTAGCTATGTGTATAACAACAGCAGCAACAACAACAACAACAACAACAACAACAACAATAAATAAATAAATAAATAAATAAATAAATAAATAAATAAATAAATAATGATGATGATGATGATGATGATGATGATGATCAAATTGACTAAATGTGAATATGAAATGTAGATTATGCAATGAATTAATAAGACTGTCCAACACATTGTCAGTGGATGCCTAGCTTTGGCACAAACACAGTATCTTAGGCGACATGATGGAGTGGCTCGATCATTTTATTACCGTCTTCGCCATGCTTGTGGTTTTGACACAGAGGTCCATCCATGCTACGACCCAGAATATGCAGAGGGTGTCATGGAAAATGATGAATACGTTTTTTTGGAACAGCCTCAGACCTATCCAGGCCAACAAACCTGATCTTGTTTTTTTTTCAAAAATCCAATGAAATCATTTATGTCGTTGAATTCTCTGTCCCTTTTGACACTGATGTGACTGTCAAGATTGAGGACCTCGCTATCGAAATGTCACGCTTGCATCCCAAGTACCAAGTTGCCCGACTCCCCATTCTTCTCGGTGCTTTAGGTTTGGTACCCCCAAATCTCTTGACTGACATTGTGAGAGTACCCGGTTTTGCTACCAGGAATACAGCTCTTCTAATTTGGGTAATACAGAAGGCTGCAGTGTTGGGGAGTCTTCACATTCTTCGAAAAGTTCTCATTCGCCATCTTGGGCTGCGTGTAGAGGGTGCAAGGGCCCTTAGCTGATGATGAGCCAAACCCTCTTTGCTGCATTTATTTTTATTCTGTATAAGAATTATAATAATGATATGGAATAGAACAGTGTGTACGGGAATTCCATTCTCAGCTCCCCGGGGAGTGGACTACCCAAGCTGCCTTACGGCGATAGGAGATGAACAGCCACATTACCATCTCATCCTACCGGGTACCCACTCACTGCTGGGTGAACAGAGGCACAATTCGAACAAAGTCACTTGCCAAAGGAGACACCACATGTGCTACATCTGTTTCCCTGCGAGGCAGGACCTCAGCCCTAGAAAATCTCAGAAGTAAAGTTTTCCCAAAACGGTTACCCATCCAACTACACTCCGCAACCAAGGCTGCCTAACTCATTTGTGATATGGTCGCTGCACACGGGACCCCATGCCACCACTGGTGTTAAAACATACGTCCCAGGTGCATTCTTTGGCATGATGTTGCTAGAATAATGCTCACAGCCTAGACATGGCCTCACACATCCATAAATAACCGCCTCCGTGGTGTGTGAGTTGGGTATTCATGTTAAACTGCGGCATGGTATCTCAGTGAGCTAGCACTATAAATCGTGCATCAGTCCGGACTAGCACAAGCAGCCACACAAACACACACACACGTACATGCACGTCGCTATTTAGACGCAATAATCTTGGACGCGACGTTAAACCCCATTTCACCTCGCCTGATCAACTGATATATGTTTACGTATTTTTGTATGAAACCTTACATTTCTCTTTTGACGCCTTCAGCCACTTCCCGGTCGGTCAGCCATGTTGACGATGAAATGCAGGTTTTATGAGAGTTCCGCCGTGTCGCTCCACCTGATGAAAGGATCTGAGAAGTAAGTATAATGTCATGTAACGTTGTATGGACAACAACTCATTGATTGTCTGTTGCCCCTCAGGTGAATACTCTTTGTTTGTTGTTGTTTAACGCCGCACTCCGCAATATTCCAGCTTTATGACGGCGGTCATCGAGTCTGGACCAGACAATCCAGTGATTAATATCACGAGCATCGATCCACGCAATTCGGATCGATGACCTGCATCTGCGTCAGCGATCCTGACCACCCGATCGTGTTAGTCACCTTTTACGACAAGCATAGTCCCCGAAAATTCTTGAAAGTAATAATCATTCTTCAGACTGTTGGAAAAAAGATAAAAGAATATCAAATGATCGGTCCCTTATAATTGAGTGAGTATGGTTTTACGCCGCTTTTAGAAATATTCCAGCAATATCACGGCGGGGGACACCACAAAAGTGGATTCACACGTTGTGTGGAATCGAATCCGAGTCTTCAGGGTGACGAGCGAACGCTTTAACCACAAGGCTACCCCCGCCTCCCCGTTCCTTATTATAAATGTCGACCCAAACAACAAGCATAGTTTATCGTTGTTGTGGACCTATTCTAAACCGGAAACCCCACAAGGACTTTCTGCCATTGGAATAACCAACGCCATAGACGGAATTTTGGATGACCTGCCTTGAATGATTGGACGAAGGACAGATGATCTGTAAAATATGTTTCGAGAAGGTTAATACAAATATTACCATTGTCATTTGAGAAACAAAATGAAAAAAAATATGTAGAAGGTAGGTCATACGTAATGGTATTGATACATGAACGACTGACGTCTAAGGGTATTCTTCTCATTTGTGGGGCAGCGTGACGTCATAATGTTTCATCTGACCAGTGAAAGAAATGCCAAAATGCAATCTCATTAAAATCAGATCTTTGTTCTCGCTATCGCTATTTCTTTCCCATTAAGGGTCACGTCAAAACGACCTTTCATCCAACCAATCAGACCGTCGCTTACCAGATCATGAAAGTGACAGTCGGAATGTGTTTTCTAATCATGCAACAACGAAATATTTAACAGGGGGTAATCCGAACGACAGTTACGGGTTTTATGATTATACCCAGCAATCTAGGCCATCTTTAAGCCATAATGATTCCAGAGTGTTCTTCTTATCAGTTTTAATTTTTTAAATCGAAAATACGTCAAAATATGTTTCGAAGCGTAGTCGCCAGTTTGAAACTAGTGTTGTAAAGCTCGAGAAAGCTGCTTTCTGATTGGCTAATGTCGATTTCTTGTCAGTCATTTCATTTGTCGGTCAAAATTCGCGAAAGGTCGTTCTGACGTGACCCGTAATTGGATGTCCTCAGATCTTTGTTTAGCGACAGCGAAAACTAAGATCTGATTTTAATGCGATTGGCTAAAATGCAAACGTGGACTTAGTAGAGTGTTACAACACCTGGCTCAACCAGGGTAATAATCAATACTTTGTTCCTCTCTGTTGCAGAATCACAATCAAACTGATTGACCTGGCAGGAGACATGCATCTTGTGATGACTATATTTGAAGGAGGGTTCGGAATGCACACTGTGAAGGGCGGGGTGGAGATGAACGCTGTGAACACGCCCGGGGTGTCCTTCACGACAGGGGAGGAGAGACACGTCGTTATTTACAACTCCGACACCGGCTTTAAGGTGATTCAACGGCGTTTATGTGACCATATTTGGAGACTTATAAAACGAGATACCCGATGTTCGGGTCAATCCTTAACCGAAGGATTGAATGCATTTGCTTGGAACAATCACCCAGGAACTGTTCTGTTGATATATGCAGTACACGGAGTGATGTTGTCATGCACGAAGCCCACTTTACAGTAGCTAAAGAAACGAACCTCAAATTTTCACAGCATGTTATTTCGATAACCGATAGTTTTGAAATGCTTCCTCATCTTCCCGAGGCAAGGGAGGTAACTGACTAAAAGTCCAGTTTCAACCCTTGCCGAACTAGGCAGAAATTATGGAGTTGCATTTTGGCTGGATTAACGAGTCTATGCATAGTCCAATCAAAATCGCGAAACGAAATCAACATACGGTTCATAAACAGCATAGCGGCTGCCGTGGAGATTGCGGTTGACTGCAGGTTTTACAGAGCATGTGTACCGTCAACAGGGCTTCGAAGGATATTTCTTCAAATATTTCATGTTTTCAATCAAGGTGTTCAAGTGATTTGATGCACTTCGCGAGATGAGATCCGTTTTATTATGATAAAGATCTTGATGATAGATCAGATCGTCTTGACTGGGCGCCGACATTTTGTTTGAAGCAAATGCAAGTGATATGAGAGGTAGAACCTGATTGGTCAATAGGAGGGACATAGAAGAGACACTGGTGGCGCTGCAATCGAGTCCTGAAATTCTAGCCTAGTTCGGCAAGGGTAGAGACTAGACTTTTATAGACGGTTAACTCCCTTGCTTCAGGAAGATGATGCTTGCTCTACAGTATCTCTGACTGATTGATCTGTGTATTCCTAGATCTCCGTGTGTGGTCTCTGACTGATTAATCTGTGTATTCCTAGATCTCCATGAGGGAACTCTGACTGATTGATCTGTGCATTCCTAGATCTCCATGTGGGGTCTCTGACTGACTGATCTGTGTATTCTTAGATCTCCATGTTGGGTCTCTGACTGACTGATCTGTGTGTTCCTAGATCTCTCTGTTGGGTCTCTGACTGATTGATCTGTGAATTCCTAGATCTCCATGTGTGGTCTCTGACAGATTGATCTATGTATTCCTAGATCTCCGTGTGTGGTCTCTGACTGACTGATCTGTGTATTCCTAGATCTACGTGGACGGGCAGCTGGCGGGGACGTACAATCACACGGACACGGCTTGGAAGAAGGTGAAAATGGTGGATGTAGACGGCTTCGAGATGATGAAGATAGCGGAGGTGGCACCAACAGGTAGACATTTCATTGGTATTGATATCCAGATATGCTATATGGTTCAACGTACATTGGTACTGATATCCAGATATGCTATATGGTTCAACGTACATTGGTATTGATATCCAGATATGCTATATGGTTCAACGTACATTGGTACTGATATCCAGATATGCTATATGGTTCAACGTACATTGGTATTGATATCCAGATATGCTATATGGTTCAACGTACATTGGTATTGATATCCAGATATGCTATATGGTTCAACGTACATTGGTATTGATATCAAGATATGCTATATGGTTCAACATACATTGGTATTGATATCCAGAATTTTCATATAATGGGTAGATATCTCGGTAGGATAAAACCAATACAAGCGGTATCCGTTGGGGTCATATACGGATAAAGATGCAAATATGAAAGGTCAGGCAGGTACCACTTTCAGTGTTTACAAACAAACATGGCGTCGCCCTTGTCAATCAGCGATTGTGTGAGAATTAAGATTGGGAATTTGGAGAAACTATTGGGATAATTGTTATCAATAAAATAGTGGTCTAGAGCCTGAAAACCAATGTCTAACCTCTGTGACTTGGGGCGTTTTCCCCAAATTAAAACAGTTAGATTTGGCCGAAATATATCCGAATTGTCACCTTCTTTCAATTTAGGCGGGGAAGTTTAGGTTGGTTGGTTTGCTGTTTTACGCCGCACTCAGAAATATTCCAGCTGTATGACGGCGGTCTGTAAATAATCGAGTGTGGACCAGACAATCCAATGATTGATATCATGAGCACCGATCCACGTAATTGGGATACGATGACATGCATCAACCAAGTCAGTGAGCCTGACCCCCCGATCCCGTTAGTCGCCTCTTACGACAAGCATAGTCGCCTTTTAGGGCAGGCATGGGTTGCTGAAGACCTATTCTACTCCGGATCTTCACGGGTCGGGAAGTTAAGGAAGCATTTTTGTCCAATGTTTTACATGTTTTAATCCCCTGACTGACACCGTGTTCATGTCCTAGTGTCCGGGATGCCGACCTGCTCACCCCCAACGCGGAAGGGCAACAGTACCGTGGTGGCGGAGGACCTCACCCTCGGGGCCATGGCAGCGTACGAGTGTGTCCCTGACTTCATCTTCTGTGGCGACACCCCCACCATCACCTGCTCCAGCGACGGCAGCTGGAGCGGCGGGCAGGGGTCATGTGTCCAGACCAGATGGTTGGTCAACAAGGTTTTCAACGAGGAAGTAAGATCTTTGGATTGTCATAAATTCAAAATGTCAATGCCAGAGAATAACCAGTCTCGATTATCGGGCGCAGTAGGCAACATGGCGAAACATTATATCAATGCATCACCGAGAATCAGTGATGACGCCAGGTGTTCGAGTAAACGGATAAACACTATTTTCTATTGACATGCAGTGTCATACCTTCAACAAGTATTCAGAGGGCACATGGGTGTCTGGATAGCAATTTAATTAAAGTTCGCCTTGACTATGTTCTGTTTCTCTTAAATGAAGCTCATACGTGGTGTCCCCAACTGCGATATCACTTGAATATTGCTTAAGCGACAATCTCATTAAAATCAGATCTTAATTTTCGCTATCGCTAAACAAAGATCTGAGAACATCCCATTACGGGTCATATCAGAACGACCTTTTATCCGACCAATCAAAGCGTTGCTTATCAGACCATCAAAGTGACAGTCAGAATGTGTTTTCTAATCATGCAACCTCGAAAACGTTAACGGGGTAATCCGAACGACAGTTACGGCCCGTACGACTGATTCGGTCAAAATCATCGTCAATCTCTCGCTTACGTGGGATAAACATTTGAACGGAGGAGGCGTTGCACAGTACGTGGGAAGCACTGCTATACAATCTTAACCATGTATTAGACATTCCGGAATGTTCGTTTTCAAAATTGTAATCGAGAACTGTGTCAACATATTTTTCAAGGTAGTCTGAAATGGAAGTCGCCAGTTTGAAACGAATGCCGTAAAGCTCGAGAAAGCTGCTTTCTAATTGGCTGATGTCGACTTCCTGTTAGTCATTTCAGTGGTCGGTTAAATTTCGCGAAAGGTCGTACTGGCGTGACCCATAACGGGACGTCCTCAGATCTTTGTTTAGCGGCAGCGAGAACTTAGATCTGATTTTAATGAGATTACTTAAGCGGGATAACGTTACTCACTCTACGAAACTATATTGTCAGCTGATCTGCAAGGTAAATCAAGTACACGGACGTTTTCGGTTTCAATTAGGAACACTAGGGTGAATTACAGTCGCATACGTAATTACTGAACGGGCATGTCATTTAAGTTACTTTGTTTTACGGATTGCCGAACTTGAAACTAAAGATTTGGAATATTAATTTGATTTTAAGAACAGTTTGTTTTCTTTCCGGCCAAACTGTTTTAAAAATTAATTTTACAAAAATCGGACGAAGGGTAACACTTTTACGTCTTTCAAATAGTTACAGGGGAGGTGGGGATAGCCTAGTGGGTACAGAGTCCGCTCGTCACGCCGAAGTCCCGTGTTCGATTTCCCAAATGGGCACAATGTTTGAAACCCATTTCTGGTCCTCCGTGAAGTTAACTTTAGGCTGAAACTAAAAGCGGCCTGAAACAATACTCACTCACTCACTCACTCACTCACTCACTCACCCACCCACCCACCCACCCACCCACCCACCCACTCACTCACTCACTCACTCACTCACTCACCCACCCACCCACCCACCCACCCACCCACTCACCCACCCACCCACCCACCCACCCACTCACTCACTCACTCACCCACCCACCCACCCACCCACCCACCCACCCACCCACTCACTCACTCACTCACTCACTCACTCACTCACTCAACCAACCACCCACCCACCCACCCACCCACCCACCCACCCACCCACTCACTCACTCACTCACCCACCCACCCAACCACCCACCCACCCACTCACTCACTCACCCACCCACCCACCAACCCACCCACCCACCCACTCACTCACTCACTCACTCACTCACTCACCCACCCACTCACTCACTCACTCACTCACTCACTCACTCACCCACCCACCCACCCACCCACCCACCCACTCACTCACATTAGCTACCATTCCTTCTCTGCCAACCTACCGACAAGCTTGGGCACCATTAGTTTGCATTTTCAAGTAAACTTGACGTGTGTGATGTTGCAGGAGATGACGTTCAGGATCCCCCTGTGTCTCTACACCAACTCAGGGACGGTGACGGTCAAGGTCCAGCTAGAACTCAAGGGAGGCCCGTGAGTACACCACCCGCTAGTCTCCTAGACCTTTATACCAATATTTCCCAATATCCCAAGCAAGTCTACAATTCTTTAGCAAGTCTAGGACTTTTCAGTTTCAGAGTGAACTTGAAGGAATTCTCTGAATTCCATTTCTATTTTTCAAGATATAATTTAACAAAAAATCACTTCAGACACTAAATGTTATTCGTTGAACGCCTTTGTTCCAGACCGTTCGATACTTCTCCACTTTTTATAGTGTTGCTTCTCTCTTTCCTCGATACTCATAAAACTTCAAATGGATATTAAAACGGAATGACGGATCTGATTATTCCTATCAAAAGTTGAACAGTATATAAGGAAGAAAATTTATGGATGTCAACTTCTTTATTATAAGGAACATAACGTTTCGGATTATACAGAAGGAGTAAGCATATACTCCGAAACGTTGTGTTCCTCATAATAAAGAAGGTGACATCCATATATTCTAATGTGTATCACTTCTAAATGCCTTTCAAAGACCTGAATAGTAATATAGTTCCCCAGTATCCGATGATTTTAAGCCTATTGTCATTCACTGTCAGAATAGCTCCTGAACTTCCCCATCGTGTCGCAACACGCTGCTAGTCTCTGACCCCTGTTGTGCTCATGTTCTCAACGGCTAGGGTAACGGAGCCATACTCGATTGTGTCACAGACTGGACATCGTCCCAATCTCATTCAAATCAGATCTTAGTGCTCCCTGTTGCTATTAACATCACAGGTCCCGTCAGAACGACCTGTCGCGAACTTTGACTGACCAATGAAATGACTGACAGGAAGTCGACATTAGCCAATCAGAAAGCAGCTTATAGAGCTTTACGGAGTTAGTTTAAAAATGGCGACTTCCGTTCCAGACTACGCCTTTTCAATATAATTTGATTTGGCGACTTCCATTCCAGACTACGCCTTTTCAATATAATTTGATTAAGTTCTCGAAAGAATTGAAAATTGAAAGATAATTCTTGAATGTCTAACAGTAGTTACCAGAGGCGGTGGAAAGTATCTTCCATTTCAAGACACGTCTAGCATTAGAGAAATAGGCATGTCTAGCATTCGGAATTCCTCTTCCTCACGTACTCTTCTAGTCTACATGCACCACCTCCGTGGTCTTGTGGTAGAGCGTCCGCCCGGAGAGCGATCCCCGGCCGCGTCATACCAAAAGACGTTAAAAGATGATACCTGTTATTACCCTGCCTGGAGCTCATTAAGGGGCTAAAACAAGGACTGGTCGGCTCGGAGTCAGTATACTGTGTCTGAATGTGGTAATCATGTTAAACTGCGGCAGTGAGCTAGCACTATAAATCGGCATCAGTCCGGACTAGTACAAGCAGCCACACACACACGCACATGCACGTCGCTATATAATTGCAATATTCTTGGACGCGACGTTAAACCCAATTTTACCTCACCTCTAGTCTACATATATATGTTCACCACCCACAGGTTCTACTTGGAGCTCCGGCCACACCACGCTGGCTATGACCCCCACAGACTGGACATCACGGAGGGGGTGGGGAACCTGAACGTCGCCGTCACCCCAGACGCGACTGCAACAGACATCCCTTCTTCAGATCTACTTGTGACATTCACGTTTAATATTTCTGCAGATCAAATAACTGTAAGTACTTATAAAAAAGCCTCCTCTTCCAAAAAGCTATATCCGCGCTATTTAATCGACACAAGCAGCAGTACCTCCCATACAAAACATACCAGCTAGTGGTCCGTGGTCTAGTGGTTGAGCGCCCGCCCGGAGAGCGGAGGGTCTGGGGTTCGATCTCCGGCCTCATCGTACCAATAGACGTTAAAAGATGGTACTTGTTGTTACCCTGTCTGGCTCTCGGCATTAAGGAGCTAAAACAAGAACTGGTCGCCTCGGTCTCAGTATACTGTGTCTGAGTGGGGTATGCATGTTAAACCCCATGTGTCTCACACTGAATTCACGAATCGTGTGCAAGAATTCTTGTTTTCTGAGTGAGAGCGAGGGTAATATATATGTACATGCGTTCTTACATGAGTTTCATAAAATCAGTATGACACATATGCAAGTGTAATAATTTCTTTATTACCATTATTTATTCAACCTTTTTAGCTCGTCTTTAGAAAAGTTCATCACCGCCGTCTTACCAAATACACAATTGCCGAATGACGTCAACAGTATCAGCTAATGTGACGTCATTCCGACATGACGTCACAATAAGATTCCAATGACGTCAACAATGCCGTCCGAATGACGTAATCAATACACTGGTGTGCGTGAAGTGATATTTGCAGTAGTGCACATACATCCTTTTTATCTTGGTTATTTCAAACCCTATTGGTGATAAAAAACCGTTACCGTTTCACCTCCAATTTTATCCATCTTACCAGGGTTGAATAAATTTCCGACCACCTCCGTAGTCTTGTGAGGCGTCTGCCTGGAGAGCGGAAGATTGCTGGTTTGATCCCTGGCCGCGTCATACCAAAAGACGTCAAAAGATGGTACTCTTTGTTACCATGCCTGGCGCTCGGCATTTAAGTACTGGTCGGCTCAGAGTCAGCGTGCTGTATCTGAGCAACTGCGGCATGGTATCTCAGTGGGCTGGTATATTATTACGGCATCAGTCCGGACAATCGCAAGCAACCACACACGTGCATGTACGTCGCAATATAAGTGCAATAATCTTGATCGCGATTCTAAACCCCGTTTCACATAGTGACCGCCTCCGTGGTCTAGTGGTAGAGCGTCCGCCGGGAGAGCGGAATGTCCGGGGTTCGATCCCCGGCTGCGTCATACCAAAAGACGTTAAAAGATGGTTCTTGTTGTTACCCTGTCTGGCGCTCGGCATTAAGGGGCTAAAACAAGGACTGGTCGGCTCGGAGTCAGTATACTGTGTCTGAGAGGGATATTCATGTTAAACTGCGGCATGGTATCTCAGTGTGCTAGCACTATAAATCTGCATCAGTCCGGACTAGTACAAGCAGCCACACAAACACACACACGTACATGCACGTCGCTATATAAGTGCAATAATCTTGGACGCGACGTTAAACCCCATTTCACCTAACCTCACCTCACTAAATGAATGTCAACATGCTCCGATGGACTTGGATAATTGTTCATATATTGGTTTTGATGGCCCAGTGGAATTTCTTCACAGACCTTCTTGATATGGCTGACTATTGCAGACTGTGGCATAAAACAACATTCACGCTTGTACTTCTTTGTTCCAGTATTCGCTGGGGACGACGGTCTTCAAGTCAGTACCCATCACTTACTCCAACTTCGACACGCTAGCCATTGGGAAGAAGGGCGTCCTACTACAATCAGTAGACATGCGCAGTTAAAACTGATTGAATTCTTCCTATAAATTATTGTTTTGTAAATAATGTATCATGTTGGTTTCGCAAATAACAATATAAATCCCGAAGTTATGTGGAAGAAAATGAAGGGTTTTAAACACAAATGTTCAAATTTGTAACAATACAGGGGAAAGCCGGCAGCGGTTCAACAATTAATGGTCTTGTGTTCTCGTTATTTCACTGGCAAGTCTAAAGGCCTGCAATGCGCCGTGCCTCGGTGTGTTCCTAAACCATTCCCTTATCCTTGGGTTCGTATCCAAGGCTGGCCTTAAAGATGATCCTTGGTTTGTCAGCACCATACCCAAACTGTACGATTTCACCCATACTGTACGATTTCACCCATTCTGTACGATTTTCACCCAAGCGGTAAATGTCTACGATTTAAGACCTTTTTGGCTTGCCCCGTACTTAAGGCTAAAACTTTAAGCTAAAACGCACATACGAGAACACACTTCTCCAAATTTTACTGTCATTGTGTACACTAGAGGAAATGGTTATCCGGTTTTAGATACTACTCAAAACAAGTTAAAGAACACCCGATTCTTTCATATCACCGTAGTTAATCTGTCATGACATGACACACTTACGATGGTCATTTGAAAGATTAGTGTTCTTTATCTTCTTTTGAGTAGTATATTAGATAACAATTGAACTTGTTTTATTTTTTATGTTATATTTAAGATGAGCATGACTGTCAGATAGAAACTTGTTTCAATTTGACAAGTGATGTCGTACTGACAATAGCTTTAATGACGCACGGAATACAGCCTAAACTCGTCCGTGCACCAGTATGCTTGTGTATGCTTGTATATATGAGATGCCAGTTTGTCCTAGCACTAGACTGTAGAAATATCGGATGTAGGCTATGTTGGCAGAGAAAACCAGATTATATATTGCGATCATCAGAAAAATGATACCAAATATTATTCATTCCCTTCCAGAAGAACCCTCCTTGTGTCTAACGTAGCGTATGATGGTTCTGTATCGTGATAGAGCGGTTCATATAACGGTAACGTAGCTTATGGAGGTGCTGTATCGTGACATAACGGTTCATATAACGGTAACGTAGCTTATGGAGGTGCTGTATCGTGACATAACGATTCATATAACGGTAACGTAGCTTATGGAGGTGCTGTATCGTGACATAACGATTCATATAACGGTAACGTAGCTTATTGAGGTGCAATACCATGATATAACAATGCCGTTGGATATTGTTCACATTGTAGCTATGCCGTTATGAACAGTGATTCGGTGTGATAATCTTACGCTTACAGGCCAACCGTATTGGCAGGCCTGGCAAGTTGGTCCAATTTGGAGCCAATTCAAATTTTATGACTCACTACTTACACTGCACGTTGTCTCATCTTGACACAGGTCACACTATTTTACAGTCTGAACGTTGGCTGTAAAATTATCAAAGACCCCGTGGAGCCCAGTCTACCATTAAAACTGTTTGAAATAAATGCATCCACCTCGAACATTAGTCATGGGGCGCGTTGCAAGCCACGAAGCGCTTAGAGAAAGCAAATTAATCGCTCACCCGGGGGTCTGCAACAGTTCGAAGCGCTTGCCCACTCTTCCAAAATGGCGGCGCAACTACCGCTTGGTTACCTTGCCCTAATGAAGAACGTAATAGTAGAGGCTTGATGACGAGCTGATGAAATTTATGACTGCTTTGAAGATGTGGAGCAGACTGATGATGATGGGGTGTTAGCTGCCTTTGCTCATTTCCCCGTTGATCAAGTCAAGAATTTCTTGTTCCGCTGTCAAAGTCAGCCGCCATTTTGGTTTGAGAAGGAAGCGACCTCGGCCAGCGATTCTTTCGCTTGCAAGCGCCTGAAAGTTAGCGCACTGTTTTAAGGTGAATCGCTGTACATCGCTTGCAAGCGATTGGCGCTTTGCAACGCACCCCTGGTCGAAATGCTGAAAAAACCGTTGAAGCTTTCGATGTCACCAATTGGCTATGTGAGATCACAGTGACGTCATAATATTGTACAATGACGTTATAATGACGTGTTATAAAATGCTATTTCCCCCACGTGAAAATGCCCATGTTATTTCACTGAACTATCTGCATATTTCCATGACATTTCGAGCGATTGTAGTCTGGGGAAGTGTATACACAATTGACAGTGGAAGTATTTTTTGTGGTACAAATTCACAGAATAAACAAGAAATTTTTCAAACACTTAAGTTAATGTGCGATTATCTTCACACCAGGAACCACAAATGAATTATTAATACACAGAGAGCAAGGACGTCTACAATGGGGCTATTCGAGTTGCGTCCCTTGGCCGAGACAGTATCCGATGACTGTGATCAGATTCGACCTGATTATGATCCTTGGTTTTTAGGAATATGTCCTTGCGCGTAGGTTTTATCAAAACAGTGGAAGTCACCTAGGGTTTGTCACACCTAATAATTGAAATACTATTCACAGCGGTTTGAATCCAAACAACCCTCACTCACTCACACAGTGATGCTAATAAGGATTAATTTCCGTTGACGTTGTACTAAATGGAGAAATAAAAAAACTTATATTATTTATTTTTCTGTGTAAGAACTTGTGAATGTAAAGTGTCTGTTTAAAGGGACAGACCATATGGTTCTTCTAATGCAATAGATATCCATGTATTATGTATGAATAAAACAGTATTGTAATATTATTGGTTTGGAAATAAACACAAATATCGTTTTCATCTTCTGTCTTCATAAAGAAGATTTTACTAAACTGCCGGGCAAAAGAAAATATACACCATGTTTGATGTTGGCGAAAATGACACAAAGAAATGGTTATTCGATGGTGATGTATTTGATGTACGGGTATCATATACGATATAACATGCATCGTATGAATGTGTATCTCACAACAGGTGACGTACACATGACGTCTAAATTTCACAGCACACTGTACAGGGCAGAGTGAAGTGTATGCTTTCTTTTGCCCGGCAGTGTATTTCTGTAGTGAGTGAGCGAGTATTGGTTTACGCCGCTTTTAGCAATATTCCAGCAATACCACGGCAGGGGACACCAGAAATTGGCTTCACACATTGTACCCATGTGGGGATTCGAACCTTGGTCTTCGGCGTGACGAGCAAACGCTTTAGCGGGCCCGGGATTTGTGCCGGCGTTCATTTTACTTAAGGACTGACAATTTGACATTCTAGGGTGAGGGCTGGAAATTGTCAAAAAAATTGATTGAAAAATAATAATTATGCTTCAGGCGTTGTAAAAAAAAATAAAATTGTCTGCCACAAAAATACATGGTTGCAAGATGTTACTTAAAAATAAATATTTAAAAAAAAAAAAAAGTCACGAGACACAATCCCACCCGCCCCCCGCACCAAAATATTAAGTGGCCGGTCCCCCATGCGAGCAGTGCCATGTGTACACTCCAATCTTCCAGGGGGCACGGGTGGCCGGGCGCAGCGATTCGCTGTGCAGAGTCGCGTCCCTTGGGCACGCCAGAAATCTATGATTGTGGGTTCGAAGAACGCCACTATTTTGCGTAACGAGTGATAAATAATAGGAACTTTCGCTATCTTGTGTATTCAGTGCCGTCATCATCTTCCCGAGGCAAGAGAGTTAACTGACTTTAAAAGTCCAGTTTCAACCCTTGCCGAACTAGGCTGGAATACCGGGGCTCGATCGTAGCGCCACCAGGGTTTTTTACGAGTCATGTCCCTTCTGAGCCTCTCCTATGGACCAATCAGATTCCACCTCTCGTATCACTTGCATTTGTATCAAACAAAATGGCGGCGCCATGTCAAGACGATCCGGATTAAAGTGTGATAAAACGGGTCTTACATTGCGAACTGCATCAAATTGCGTGAGCACCTTGATTAAAATCATGAAAAGATTTGGAAAATATCTGTTGACAACGAGTTGGCGGTGTACACACTTTGCAAACCCTGCAATCGACCGAAATCTACACGACAGTTTACGAACCGGATTTCGATTTCGTTGCGTGATTTTGATTGGACTATGCATAGACTCGTTAGTCCAGCCAAAATGTAACTCCACATACAAGCCTAGTTCGGCAAGGGTGGAAACTGGACTATTAAAGTCAGTTCACTCCCTTGCTTCGGGAAGATGTGCCGTCATGGGGTATCGAATGCCAATATATTTTGTATACGTTTACGAAATACTATGAAACGTCGTGTGTATTGAGTGATATTGTGGCAAGGACGTCGTCAAAAATGTTCATGCGTTGACGTCACTGGGAAGAACGTCACTATCACCTCGTTTACGCGAAGACCTGGTGTCATCACTGATTTTCAGCGGTTAATTCATATAATCTTCGGGGGCACAGGTGGCCCAGTCATCTAAGGCGCCGCGATTCGCCGTGCAGAGTTGCGTCCATTGGGCACGCCAGAAACCTATGATTGTGGGTTCGAATCCTGGTTCGCCCCGATTATGTTTCTAGGTTTGTCAGCACAATACCCGTGCTCGTGGGTTTCACCGAAGTGGTAAACGTCTGAGACCTGCATCACTTGGGGCTTTCCTCCCACATTAAGATGACACATCGTGATATAACTGGAATACTGTTAAAAGCGGCGTTAAACCCAACTCACTCACTCACTCACTCTGAAACAGAAACACACCACAATTGTCTGTGGTTTTCTTTAATCTTTTTACAGTTCAAGTGTGTTTTGATTGTTTATTGTTTCTAATACACAAATAGATGATTGTGGTCTATGCTTTCTACAAACATACCAGCTCTCTATTGTTTGGCTTCTTTAAAGATAGCACTGAAATGCATTCCTCTATTAATGAATATGTTTTCAATTTGAAAAATATGTTAATTTTGTAATTCCATGCGATGAAGTGTTTGCTTTGTTGGTTTGTTGTTTAACGCCGCACTCAGCAATATTCCAGCTATATGACGGCGGTCTGTAAATAATCGACAATTGGTCACGCAATTGGGATACGATGACATGAATCAACCAAGTCAGTAAGCCTGACTACCCGATCCCGTTAGTCGCCTCTTACGACAATCAGTCGCCTCTTACGGCAAGCATGGGTTGCTGAAGACCTATTCTACCCCGGATCTTCACGGGTCGCCTAGAAGTGAGTGAGTGTGTGAGTGGGTAGGGTTTTACGCCGGTTTTGGCAATAATCCATTAATATGACGGTGGGGACACCACAAATGGGATTCACACATTATACCCGTGTGGGGCATCGAACCGGGTCTTTGGTGTGACGAGCGAACGCCGGTTTCGCTCCTACTATGGTCAGAACTGACATGAAAATACTAGTTAAACTCTATACTTTCACATAATGGGCAAACTTCTCCGTCTACAACGTGCGTCACGTGTGAGGGAGTGAATACCACGGTCAGATATATTCCATCTATACCAAGGCGGGCTGTTAAATACATGCGACTAGACCAAGCAATTACATCGAGCGGGCACGCCATGGTATTGCTGTTTTGCCTAAATCAAGCTCAGTAACGATTCTATCACGTCTGCAGAAAGGAAAACATTGACGTAGGCCAACGTAGCTACCCGACAGGTGACCAGCCACATCCAGTTTATTTGCCTCGAAAACAAATGAAGACTTCTTCATGCGTGATAAAAAAGACAAAACAAATAGTGGACTTTTCAAAAATAAATCTTTATTAACTACGGATTACATGGTACTTACACATCAGCCTCAAGAAACAAGTCAATGTTTGGTACCCTGATAGGTGATAAACTGATAGTGGGGCGGTTAAGGGAAAAATTGGGCACTTAGGTTTTAAAGGACCAAACTTTGCACACTTACACATTGAACCATTCCTAACATTTCCGGATACGGGCCCAAGCTTAGCAGCGCCCCCTGGTGGTAGAAAATTCAAGGTGGCCACTAACTTCGCTGAAATCTCTAATTATGTAAATCTATGCTCAATATATTATACTTTTCTGTTCAAATTATACCTCTCAGCTATGATATGTTACATTTTCAATTGGAAATATCTTAAGTTAGCGATATCATATCAAAACGCTTAGTCAGCACTCAAAGAATACTTCTATATGGTTTTATTAAAAAAAATATATTTAAAACTTTTACAAATTAAAAAATATAATTTCGCATAATACACAACTTGTGATGGGTATGCTAGACATCATATTTTTTTTCGGCACAAATTTCCATTTCCAACATGGCAGGGGTCATGTGGTTGTCAATTCATTTTTTACACCAGTCTTCATTGAACCGATGTGTTTTAACACAATATTACCCAGTAACAGATTAATTTTTACTGTTGCAGGAATGAAGGAGGATCAAATAAACATAATCAAACAACAGTTCTTTCAAATTGCAATCACATAAAAAAGCAAACTCGCAAATAAAAGATGCTTTCTTTTGTCCCTCCGTATATGCGCATTAAGTGATACGACGGTCAGGTCATTGGCAGCCTGTACATAAAGCTATATAGTGAATGAGTATAGTTTGACGCCGCAATTAGTAAAATGGCGGGGACACCAGATATCGACTGTAAACACTGTCCAAATATTGGGAATCGAACCCGACATTCGACGTGACAAGCGAACGCTTTACCCACTGGGCTACCCAACCGCTCGGGAGTGTGCAGAGCGGTACTGCATGCTGTTCGGTAGGGTTAAAACGATATGTCCAACTTCAACAGGGTCAGTTTGATCAACATTATATGTTCATATTTCACATTCTAATTGGAATTTAAAATGGTCAGAGAGTCGATCCTGGTGCCTTGAGATATAGAGATGAACTTCACACTCCTGAGCGGGGATTCGTATGGATACGACGACATAATTACCCCATTGACAGAAATCTGTAATACAATGTTAAATATATTTAATTATACATGTTTTGTTATAACAAAAAAGTATTTAATTATACACGTGTAGGTATTACAATGTTTGTTGTTTAACGCCGCGCTCAACACTATTCCAGCTATATGACGGCGGTCTGTAAATAATCGAGTCTGGACCAGACAATCCAGTGACTGATATCATGAGCATCGATCCACGCAATTGGGATACGATGACATACATCAACCAAGTCAGCGAGTCTGACCACCCGATCCCGTTAGTCGCCTCTTACGACAAGCATAGTCGCCTTTTACGGCAAGCATGGGTTGCTGAAGACCTGTCCTACCCGGATCATTACAAGAGTAGATGAAGAAAGTGGTATTGGAGAAGGTTCATACAGTGTTTAAGTTTAAGCTTGGGGTGACTCTGAGGCAGGCAGGATAGCCAGTAACACTTGGACCAAATAACCCCAAATGACTTATATAATCGACCTCAATAATACGATTGTTATATAATAGAGTATATTGTTGGGTGGCACCCCCATCCTACCACGGAAAGTTATAATTGATACTGTGAACCCCCCTCCCCTATTTATGTTGTCACATACACACACCTCAAGGTTAATATCTTTAATGTGCGCCCCCCCCCCCCCCTCCCAATAGTGATGGGGCAGACACACCCATGGATCCCCACCTACCACTGGAGATTAGTAGTGATATGCCACCCCACCCACCAACCCGCCATCCACTATCAGTGAATCTAATACAATACCCATCATCCATTATACAATGAATGAAATACGATTGGTAAAGATTAACACACAACATGGTTTACATTGAAGGCTGTGGGGGTAACGTCGACGGTCAGGTCGATGTCCATGGTGTTGAAGTCGTGGTTCTGTATAGTCTCCTGTTGGGTAGTCCTCCCACCCAGCACTCTGCTGGCGGTCAAACTGCTGGACAGGACAACATACTTGATGATTAGCACGGCTTCCTTGTCAGCTAACAGCTGCATCTGGAACCTGCGTGACCAAGAAGGTAGAACTTTGGAATAAGTGATGCATGCATGATAAAGGGCACAACACTGGAATAAGTGATGCATGCTTGATAAAAGGCACAACACTGGAATAAGTGATGCATGCTTGATAAAAGGCACAACACTGGAATAAGTGATGCATGCTTGATAAAAGGCACAACACTGGAATTAGTGATGCATGCTTGATAAAAGGCACAACACTGGAATAAGTGATGCATGCTTGATAAAACGCACAACACTGGAATAAGTGATGCATGCTTGATAAAAGGCACAACACTGGAATAAATGATGCATGCATGATAAAGGGCACAACACTGGAATACTTGAATGCATGCATGATGAAAAAAACAACACTGGAATAAATGATGCATGCATGATAAAGGGCACAACACTGGAATAAATGAATGCATGCATGATGAAAAAAATAACACTGGAATAAATGATGCATGCATGATAAAGGGCACAACACTGGAATAAATGAATGCATGCATGATGAAAAAAACAACACTGGAATAAATGAAGCATGCATGATAAAGGACACAACACTGGAATAAATTATGTATTATGATCAAAGGCACAACACTGGAATAAATGATGCATGCATGATAAAAGGTACAACACTGGAATAAATGATGCATGCATGATAAAGGACACAACACTGGAATAAATTATGTATTTATGATCAAAGGCACAACACTGGAATAAATGATGCATGCATGATCAAAGTACAACACTGGAATAAATGAGTGCATGCATGATAAAAGGCACAACACTGGAATAAATGATTGCATGCATGATAAAAGGCACAACATTGGAATAAATGATGCATGCATGATAAAAAGCACAACACTGGAATAAATGATGCATGCATGATAAAAAGCACAACACTGGAATAAATGATGCATGCTTGATAAAAGGAACAACACTGGAATAAATAATACAAGTATGATAAAAAGCACAACACTGGAATAAATAATACATGTATGATAAAAAGTACAACACTGTAATAAATGATGCATGCATGATAAAAGGCACAACACTGGAATAAATGATGCATGCTTGATAAAAGGCACAACACTGGAATACATGATGCATGCATGATAAAAAGCACAACACTGGAATAAATGATGCATGCATGATAAAAAGCTAAACACTGGAATAAAAGAATGCAATCACGATAAAAGGCATACCACTGGAATAAAAGAATGCATACACGATAAAATGCATACCACTGGAATACTTGAATGCATGCATGATAAAAGACACAACACAGGAATACATGAGTGATGCGTGATCAAAAGGCACACCAGGTGTTATGTCCGTACGCTAAGCACCTGCACACTTTTGATACAAACAGTTGAACACAAGGAACATGAGTGATTGAATGAGTTAAAATTTAACGTCGCTACGACATTATTTCAGCCATAGAGTGATCGTGGGCGATTGGGGCTCTAGCACTGACACATATACGTACTTTGCGCTGTTCGTCCCGAGTACAGCTTTCAGCTTAATCGCGGCCGAAGACTTTAACTCACAGGGCACTCCGAAATCAGTATCCTGGAAAGGAATCCAGTGTTCGGTCAGCTATAACCTTTGCTGAGCCTAAATAACAGTACAAACATGCATGCACGTATACAAAAATGGTCACTTAAAACTACCTACTGTGTACTGATACTACTACCATGGATGTAACCCGTGAAGATCCGGGTTAGAATGGCATCTTCAGCAACCGATGGCTGTTATAAAAGGCGACTATGCTTTTCGTAAGAGGCGACTAACGGGATCGGGTGGCCAGGCTCGCTGACTTGGTTGATGCATGTCATCGTATCCCAATTTCGTAGATCGATGCTCATGATGTCAAGCACTGGATTATCTGGTCAAGACTCGAATATTTACTGACCGCCGTCATATAGCTGGAATATTGTTGAGTGCGGCGTTAAACAACAAACAAACAAACAAACCACGGACGTGTCACATCTTTACTTAGAGACTGCCTCCGTGGTGTTGTGCAAGAACGCCTACCCGGAGAGTGAAGGTCGGGTGTTCGATACCGCGTCATACCAAAAGACGTTAAAAGATGGTACTTGTTGTTGCCCTGCCTAGCGCACAAGAATTTTTCGGCTCGGAGAGTACTGTGTATGGGTGGGGTATTCATGCTTAAACTGCAGCAGGTATCTCAGTTGCCCAGCACTATAAAACCGGCATTAGCCAGGGATCCCGCAAGCGGCTACACATAGGCGTATGCACATATTGATTGACGTTACACCTCATTCCACCCCTGGGGGCACGGGTGGCCCAGTCGTCTAAGGCGCCGCGATTCGCTGTGCAGAGTTGCGTCCCTTGGGCACGCCAGAAACCTATGATTGTGGGTTCGAATCCCGGTTCCCCCTAGTTATGTTTCTAGGTTTGTCAGCACCATAGCCGTGCTCGTGGGTTTCACCGAAGTGGTAAACATCTGAGACCTGCATCACTTCGAGCTTTCCTCCCACATTAAGCTGACACGCCGTGATTTAACTGGAATACTGTTAAAAGCGGCGTTAAACCCAACTCACTCACTCACTCATTCCACCCCTCCCCTCTCTGATCTTAATACGTGATTTCTGGTTAATGAGGTATTCACAAATTAAGGACAATTGCCAACGTAAGCTGCTGTGTATTGCTTCGGATCACCTGTGTTAGCTCGGGTACTTCAGTCCAGGTATTGCGTTGACACGCGGATAGCAGCGGAGCGTTAAACCTCCACGTGCCGTCGCTCCAACACGTGACTTTATTTAAAGTACCGCAGAAACTGTGGCCAGCGTGACACGTGACCGTCCCTTCAGCTCCAACCGACGTCTCACTTTGCTGAACCTGACCATTCAGTACAATGGCCGACGAGCAGTCTTTGTAGCCATTCTCTAGAAGTGGAAATGTGGTTCTATTAATTATCTGATTAATTTCATTGTTTTGTTACTTTAACTCAATTATATATAGGTACATAATAAATGGGAAACGCAATTTAACAACAACAACAACAAATTGCTAAGTAATATCAAATAAATTCCTTTCTCTTGAAAGGATTGCTTCATCGACTTACAAGGCTTCGAATTAAACAATAAAATAAGCTTGATCGCTTAAGATATCAATGTTCACAGCTCATTGTATTTGGGGGGCACAGGTGGCCCAGTCGTCTAAGGCGCCGCGATTCGCCGTGCAGAGTTGCGTCCATTGGGCACGCCAGAAACCTATGATTGTGGGTTCGAATCCTTGTTCGCCTCGATTATGTTTCAAGGTTTGTCAGCACCATACCCGTGCTCGTGGGTTTCACCGAAGTGGTAAACGTCTGAGACCTGCATCACTTCGGGCTTTCCTCCCACATTAAGCTGACACGCCGTGATATAACTGGAATAATGTTAAAAGCGGCGTTAAACCAAACTCACTCACTCACTCACTCACTCATTGTATTTGAGAGACATGGTATTTGAAGCTGCCAACCGTCAATATCAAAATGAAAGACGTTTTTTTTATTAGTGAGTGAGTGAGTTGGTTTTAACACCGCTTTTATCAGTATTCAAGTTATATCACGGCGTGTCATCTTAATGTTGGAGGAAAGCCCGAAGTGATGCAGGTCTCAGACGTTGACCACTTCGGTGTAACCCTCGAGCACGGGTATGGTGCTGACAAACCTAGAAACATAATCGGGGCGAACCGGGATTCGAACCAACAATCATAGGTTTCTGGCGTGCCCAAGGGACGCGACTCTGCACAGCGAATCGCGGCGCCTTAGGCGACTGGGCCACCCGTGCCCCCAGCTTTTTTTATTACGGTACGCTAAAACATCTGCCGGTCCTTTCTTAATCTAATCATTTTGTTGTTGTTAAAAATACAACATTTGCTACGGCTGCAGAACAGAGGAGGCTGAGGCTGAGGCCAGAACTGACCAGGTGTAAAGATGCGGACATTCTCGGCCTTGTCTGCTTGGATGAAGACGTAGGCGACCTGGCTGTAGTCAAAGGTGTCGTTGTAGGAAGCAACCTCAGTATCGTCTACACTGATCTGGAGAAATAGGTGACACAACTATTGATAACTACACAAGGTAGATCGAAGCTCATGATGTCACTGGATTGTCTGGTACAGACTCGATTATTTACAGACCTCTGTCATATAGCTGGAATATTGCTGAGTGTGGCGTTAAACAAACAAACTCCTCCTACTCCTAATCCTACTCCTGTGTGATGCTCATACATGTATCTGATATTGCTGGAATATTGCAACAGAAGGTATAAAAACATACTCACGAAGAGATAACGTTACCTTATACAGACTATTCGACAACATCACAGTCAAGTGGAACTTCTTATTCTTTGTAAAAGGAAACAATGATATATCAGACTTGGTCTCTGTAGCGGATTTCGGTTGGTGTCCAACTGTAAAAGTTTCATTTGCAAAAGAAGCATCTATTTGTAGGAGTATGTTCCGGAAATCGCCGAAATGCAGAGAAAACGTCCTGAAAAATCAAATGAAATATATCTGATCCAATGAATAGGCTTGAAAATACACACTGATTTCATTATAAACAGATCACCAAGGTACCAATTTGAAATTGTTCTGGAACGTATTTAATCAAAATTAAACATGCATCTATCTTCTTCCATAAAACCATTGACAGAAAATTCAGGTACATTCTAAATTTTGTAACTCCATTTTGTTACTCTGAACCTTTAACATTGACTTAAAATAGTCATAGCACTGAGATGCTTTGTGAAGCCGGGCCAAGGATATAGGGAGGCACATACTTGGAGCTCATCATCATCCAGCACTCGACTGCATTTTAGAATGTACATATACCTCTCTAAAAAAGTAGGGTATCAGGAAATATAAATCCTCTACAACGCGATGAACGCATAAGAGCTATTGACATGCTTCTAACTGAAAGAACAGATTCAAACTGATAGGTTGCCAATATGTTAATGTGCCCCAGTCTGTGAATTGCAGACTTTGCAACAGGTTTCTGCAAATATAAAATGTTAATGATCGTCCGCGAACAATTCCAGATTTAGTAGAAACCAGGGTTTAAGAGATCGAGCCCAAACAGACAATCAAATCGCTGTTCATGTGCGCCAGGCCACCGGAGTTAAAGTCACTGACCAGATGCTTAGAAATCTCCTGCATGCAGCTAATCTACATCCTCTGCGATGACGTGTTGCACCACCTTAACTTAAGGGTGGAATTGGTAGAGACTGGGGACATTGCCGATGGCCTCGTGCAATGTGTTCATACGAGTCTAATTCCACTCTGGACTTTCTGGATAGGCGTGGACGTGTCCTAGCGAACGTCATGCCAACGTCAACGTAAAGCAAAATGACAGATTTGGGAGTGGGTCTGTGTTGATATGGGGCGGGATCATTATGATTGCCAAAGTGTGTATTGTCAAAGGACTGAGTGAATATAATGTTATGCCGCTTAAAGCAATAACCAAGCCATATCATGGCGGACACCAAAAAATGGGCCTTAGGAAATATTGTCCCCCGAAGGTTCAACTATCAGTACTACCGAAACAACATACTGGCGCCAATAGTGGTGCCGTTTGCGGACCACGCTTGTAGACGTTTTGTCTTTCAAGACGATAAAGTTCATGATCACAGCGCACATATCTAACTGAGTACCTCCAGTAGCAAAACCCGGATGCATTAACTGACCATGACTCCTGACCTGTCTTGGACCTGGGGGCACGGGTGGCCCAGTCGTCTAAGGCGCTGCGATTCCCTGTGCAGAGTTGCGTCCCTTGGACAAACCAGAAACCTATGATTGTGGGTTGGAATCCCGGTTCGCCCCAATTATGTTTCTAGGTTTGTCAGCACCATACCCGTGCTCTTGGGTTTCACCGAAGTGGTCAACGTCTGAGACCTGCATCACTTCGGGCTTTCCTCCCACATTAAGTTGACACGCCGTGATATAACTGGAATATTGTTAAAAGCGGCGTTAAACCCAACTCACTCACTCACTCACTTTCTTGGACCTTATTTTCCAAGGCCACCGCTAGGTCAGCCGAACTTGGTCAGGCGCTGCAAATGGACAAGACTCCCTCAAATTGTCACTGGGAGATTGATTCGACTAGCCACGCCGTATAAACGAAATTTGACCCAAGTGTAGGGGTGTGGCCAATTATTGATCAAGTCATCTCAAACGTTCATTTTTTTACACCACACTTCTGTGGTCTTTCTTGGTTGTTTGCACCTTACAACACACTGCCACCATGTTCTGTTGATTGGCATGTTACACCTAGTCCTCCCAAGTTTCTGATCCATTCATGGCCAACACTCGACACCTTCTTGCATGTTGGTCATCATCTGTGAAGTCGAATAAACCCTACTTTCCAGATGATATGATAATCTGAGTCATTTTCAAAACATGTCATTTAAATCTATGGAACATATACCCGTTTTCTGTGAGATAAAGAGACAGCGTTGACCCCTCGGTCACCTTGCATGGCCAGTGAGCTGTAAGGTTCCTTTCCTGAAAGAAGCCAAGACATAGTAAAACAGCAGAATAAAACATCAGAGTAAAACAGCAGAGTAAAACATTAGAGTAAAACAGCAGAGTAAAACGGCAGAGTAAATCAGCAGAGTAAAACAACAGAGTAAAACAGTAAAGTAAAACAACAGAGTAAAACAGTAAAGTTAAACAACAGAGTAAAACAGCAAAGTAAAACAACAGAGTAAAACAGCAGAGTAAAACGACAAAGTAAAACAGCAGAGTAAAACAGCAAAGTAAAACAACAGAGTAAATCAGCAGAGTAAAACGACAAAGTTTAACAGCAGAGTAAAACAGCAGAGTAAAACAACAGGGTAAAACACATGCCTACTGGGATTCTCTGTTGTTTTACGCTGCAGTTAGCAATTATTTGAAAGTTATGTAAATGCGTCTTGGCCAAGGAAACCTGCATCTAAACGTATGAGTAAGTGTGTAACGCCATAGGGTGTGTGGGTGTTGGTGGGGGTGTTGGTGTGGGTGTTGGTGTGGGTGTTGGTAGGGGTGTTGGTGGGGGTGTTGGTGTGGGTGTTGGTGTTGGTGTTGGTGTGGGTGTGGGTGTGGGTGTTGGTGTGGGTGTTGGTGTGGGTGTGGGTGTGGGTGTTGGTGTGGGTGTTGGTGTGGGTGTTGGTGTGGGTGTGGGTGTGGGTGTTGGTGTGGGTGTGGGTGTTGGTGTTGGTGTGGGTGTGGGTGTGGGTGTTGGTGTGGGTGTTGGTGTGGGTGTGGGTGTGGGTGTGGGTGTGGGTGTTGGTGTGGGTGTTGGTGTTGGTGTGGGTGTGGGTGTTGGTGTTGGTGTTGGTGTGGGTGTTGGTGTTGGTGTGGGTGTGGGTGTTGGTGTTGGTGTGGGTGTTGGTGTGGGTGTGGGTGTTGGTGGGGGTGTTGGTGTGGGTGTTGGTGTGGGTGTTGGTGGGGGTGTTGGTGGGGGTGTTGGTGTGGGTGTTGGTGTTGGTGTTGGTGTGGGTGTGGGTGTGGGTGTTGGTGTGGGTGTTGGTGTGGGTGTGGGTGTGGGTGTTGGTGTGGGTGTTGGTGTGGGTGTTGGTGTTGGTGTTGGTGTTGGTGTTGGTGTGGGTGTGGGTGTTGGTGTGGGTGTTGGTGTGGGTGTTGGTGTGGGTGTTGGTGTGGGTGTTGGTGTTGGTGTGGGTGTGGGTGTTGGTGTGGGTGTTGGTGGGGGTGTTGGTGTGGGTGTTGGTGTGGGTGTTGGTGTGGGTGTTGGTGTGGGTGTTGGTGTGGGTGTTGGTGTGGGTGTGGGTGTGGGTGTTGGTGTGGGTGTGGGTGTGGGTGTTGGTGTGGGTGTTGGTGTGGGTGTTGGTGTGGGTGTTGGTGTGGGTGTTGGTGTTGGTGTTGGTGTGGGTGTGGGTGTTGGTGTGGGTGTTGGTGTGGGTGTTGGTGTGGGTGTTGGTGTGGGTGTTGGTGTGGGTGTTGGTGTTGGTGTTGGTGTTGGTGTTGGTGTGGGTGTGGGTGTTGGTGTGGGTGTTGGTGTGGGTGTTGGTGTGGGTGTGGGGTGTGGGTGTTGGTGTGGGTGTTGGTGTGGGTGTTGGTGTTGGTGTTGGTGTGGGTGTGGGTGTGGGTGTTGGTGTGGGTGTTGGTGTGGGTGTGGGTGTGGGTGTTGGTGTGGGTGTTGGTGTGGGTGTTGGTGTTGGTGTTGGTGTTGGTGTGGGTGTGGGTGTTGGTGTGGGTGTTGGTGTGGGTGTGGGTGTGGGTGTTGGTGTGGGTGTTGGTGTGGGTGTTGGTGTGGGTGTTGGTGGGGGTGTTGGCGTGGGTGTTGGTGTGGGTGTTGGTGTGGGTGTGGGTGTGGGTGTTGGTGTGGGTGTTGGTGTGGGTGTTGGTGTTGGTGTGGGTGTGGGTGTTGGTGTGGGTGTTGGTGTTGGTGTTGGTGTTGGTGTTGGTGTGGGTGTGGGTGTTGGTGTGGGTGTTGGTGTGGGTGTGGGTGTGGGTGTGGGTGTTGGTGTGGGTGTTGGTGTGGGTGTTGGTGTTGGTGTTGGTGTTGGTGTGGGTGTGGGTGTTGGTGTGGGTGTTGGTGTTGGTGTTGGTGTTGGTGTGGGTGTGGGTGTTGGTGTCGGTGTTGGTGTGGGTGTGGGTGTGGGTGTTGGTGTGGGTGTTGGTGTGGGTGTTGGTGTGGGTGTGGGGTCGGGTGGGGTGGGGTTACACTGACCCAATAGTAGAGGTGGCCGCCCAATCCCCTGTTTTTAGTCGGGAAACAGAGACCTCTTCAGACCAGGAATCCATACAGGGGAATGGCTGTCGTAAACCAAATAACGTAAACACTCGCCCGAAGGTTGTTTGTATGTGGTTCATTTTGCCTCTGTACAGGGACGAAATAATACGATGTTTCATTTGCCTGCGTATACAGACAAGATAATTTGCAACATCACTATCTTTTGTTTTCAAATGAGTCATTTTACAGAACGCCACTATTTTGCGTAACGAGTGATAAAATAATAGGAACTTTCGCAATCTTGTGTATCTAGTGCCATCTTCCCGAGGCAAGGGAGTTAACTGACTTTAAAAGTCCAGTTTCCACCCTTGCCTAACTAGGCTACAATTCCTCGGCTCGATCGTAGCGTCCCCAGTGTTTCAACGAGTCATGTCCCTTCTGAGCCTCTCCTATGGACCAATCAGATTCCACCTCTCGTATCACTTGCATTTGTATCAAACAAAATGGCGGCGCCATGTCAAGACGATCCGGGGCGGTCGGGTAGCCTAGTGGTTAAAGCGTTCGCTCGTCACGCCGAAGACTCGGGTTCGATTCCCGACATGGGTACAATGTGTGAAGCCCATTTCTGGTGTCCCCCGCCGTGATATTGCTGGAATATTGCTAAAAGCGGCGTAAAACCGTATTCATTCACTCACTCACTCAAGACGATCCGATTTATAGTGTGATAAAACGGGTCTTACACTGCGGACTGCATCAAATCACGTAAGCACCTTGTTTAAAAACATGAAAAGATTTGGAAAATATTTGTTGTCAACGAGTTGGCGGTGTACACACTTTGCAAACCCTGAAATCGACCGAAATCTACACGACAGTTTACGAACCGTATTTTGATTTCGCTGCGCAATTTTGATTGGACTATGCATAGACTCGTTAGTCCAGCCAAAATGTAACTCCATATACCAGCCTAGTTCGGCAAGGGTGGAAACTGGACTTTTAAAGTCAGTTAACTCCCATGCTTCGGGAAGATGTGCCGTCATGGGGTATCGAATGCCTATATATTTTGTATACGTTTACGAAATACTATGAAACGTCGTGTTTATTCAGTGATATTGTGGCAAGGACGTCGTCAAAAATGGTCATGCGTTGACGTCATGGGGAAGAACGTCACTATCACCTCGTTTACGCGAGGACCTGGTGTAATCACTGATTTTCAGCGGTTAATTCATCGGGGGCACAGGTGGCCCAGTCGTCTAAGGCGCCGCGATTCGCTGTGCAGAGTTGCGTCCCTTAGGCACGCCAGAAACCTATGATTGTGGGTTTGAATCCTGGTTCGCCTCGATTATTTTTCTAGGTTTGTCAGCACCATACCCGTGCTCGTGGGTTTCACCGAAGTGGTAAACGTCCAAGACCTGCATCACTTCGGGCTTTCCTCCCACATAAAGCTGACACACCGTGATATAACTGGAATAATGTTAAAAGCGGCGTTAAACCCAACTCACTCACTCATATTATATTCAAAGCTATATACCCTGTACGCCATATGGAATGTGTTTCGGCGGATAATCAAGACCATCTATTCTCCAACATTGAATTTTCTGGTGTCCCCCGCCGTGATATTGCTGGAATATTGCTAAAAGCGGCGTAAAACCATACTCACTCACTCACTCCAACATTGACATCTCATGATACTCACTTTGGGATGCCATGTCATTTTCCGGCATTCACCTTTGACCTCGTTTCCCACCACGCCCATAGTGCAGTTAGCCACATTGTCCTCGCCACAGAACATATAGTTCTGGTCGACACACGTGTACGTAACAGAGGTAGATATTCGTGATTCACGTTGATATTTATCAATGACCATGTTGAGAGGAGGCGGTTCTGGACTCCCACAGGTTTCTGGGTGTTCAACTAAAACAGTACATGGATATTTTATACAAATATATGTAGCTTTGACCTCTTGGGGACACAATACAAAGACATTACAATCAATGGAACAGTGCAAGAAGAAATCACGGAAAGCTTTTTAATGAATCAGACTTAACGACACTAAAAGTTAGTGAGTGAGTATGGTTTTACGCCGCTTTCAGCAATATTCCAGCAATTCCACGGCGGGGGACACCAGAAATGGGCTTCACACGTTGTACCCATGTCGGGAATCGAGCCCGGGTCTTCGACGTGACGAGAGAACGCTTTAACCACCAGGCTACCCGACCGCCCCTATTAGAGTTAAGGACACTAAAAACAGTCAAAACGGGTAGGCTTGTGAAATACACTAAAATAACTAAACGTTTTTGTGTTTTGTTTGACGCCACACTCAGCAATATCTGATACATTACGTCATGTAAATAATCAAGTGTGGAAAACAAACCAGTGATTGATACTATGAGTAACGTCCCATGGTGTCGGGGTACATACATCATACATCAAACAATACAGGGTCCATTTAATCACAGACCGCCTCCGTGGTCTAGTGGTAGAGCGTCCGCCCGGAGAGCGGAAGGTCTGGGGATCGATCTCCGGCCGCGTCATACCAAAAGACGTTAAAAGATGGTATTTGTTGTTACCCTGTCTGGCGCTCGGCATTAAGGGGCTAAAACAAGGACTGGTCGGCTCGGAGTCAGTATACTGTGTCTGAGTGGGGTATTCATGTTAAACTGCGGCATGGTATCACAGAGAGCTAGCACTATAAATCGGCATCAGTCCGGACTAGTACAAGCAGCCACACAAACACACACACGTACATGCACGTCGCTATATAAGTGCAATAATCTTGGACGCGACGTTAAACCCCATTTCACCTCACTTCACCTCACCTTTTAATCACGGTCACAATACAATATATACTCACTGTTGATAACATTGGTTGTGCCTGTTATTCTTATTTGATCTATGGCCGATGATACAGGTGCTTGCATGATAAATCCTGCCCCTATTACAGACCCCTCCCCCAACTTAAGGTCAAGGCCATTTGACCAGTCCAGCCAGAATGTCCTGTAATCATCACACGACAGCGGACTGTCCCAGATGGACTTCTGTTCAGGACATACTGTACAGTCCGTCTTTGTATTCTCTCTGGCACCAAGGGTGAACTGGACGTGGTCCTCCAGGAACAGACCCCCCTTGACATCGATGACGACATCTTTACAAGCCTTGACCCGGAAGTATTTCGTGGTTTGAGTGGTTGTAATCGGAAGGTCAACAAACTTGTATCTGCTGTGTGGTTTTGCATGGATGTCTTTGTAGTAGGTTTTTTCATCTGCAAACCACCAAATGGAAGAATTTAACATGTCCTAGTAATGTTTTGGGGGAACGGGGGACCCAGTCGTCTGAGACGCCGCAATTCCTTGTGCAGAGTTGCGTCCCTTCGGTACGCCAGAAACCTATGATTGTGGGTTCGTATCCCGATTCGCCAAAATTATGTTTCTCGGTTTGTCAGCACCATACCCGTGCTTGTGCGTTTCACCGAAGTGGTAAACGTCTAAGACCTGCATCACTTCGGGCTTTGCTCCCACAGTTAGCAGACACGCCGTTATATCACTGTTATACTATTAGAACTGGCGTTAAACCCAACACATTCAACAAATTTGTTGCTTATTCAATAAATCAAACAGCGAACAACGATGAAACCCCAAAGTGTTGCTATGACATCTATGTTCTTAAATTATTATATTTCTTGTTAAACAATGATGATTAATTATTGCTTTTCATAATTATGAACCAAAACACTAAAATGCAGAATCATACATCATTACATATTTAGATATTATGTTCTTGACTGAGAACATTCAATAAGCGTCAAAGGCATATTAATAATTTTGACGATGGGGTACTTACCACCCAAATTACGAGAATGACAAAGGTTCACACGTCAGGCGTCTTAAAAACAGGATCAGGGCGCAAATAATTAATGTTTCTGTGACGTCTTGTGGTGTCGTAGTTACTATAAAACGTCAAATAATCCATCCCGCTCTATCGGCAGAACCCGACGAAATGTAAGTTTCTGTTGCTTGGCGCAGCACAACACTACCCATGTAGCCTGTAAACAATCGAGTCTTGACCAGACAATCAAGTGATTGACCAGACAACTCATCGACAAGATCGCATGTTTACTGAAACTCGATTTACTGAGACCTAACATTTCCAAAGACCCGAATGCCTACTCCTCTACTGAACAATGTCTGAATACTGGAGTTCGATCACCTACCAGGCATATCAAAGCGCAGTTCCCTCACGGCCATCGGTCCAAAAAACGCGACGTCAGCAATGATGCCATCATGGACGGTACTTGACACTGCTGTCACCAAGGGAACTGAGTTGACCTCAATCTTGAAATATGAAATGGTGGATTTGTTACTGCGTGAGAGGAGCGGTCGGATAGCCTGGTCGTTAAAACATTCGCTCGTCACGCCGAAGACCCGGATCCGATTCCCGACTTGGGTACAATGTTTGAAGCCAATTTCTGCTATCCTTTCAAATGCTATTCAAGAGACACACTAGCACGTACGCTATTCAAGTGACACACTTACACATATGCTATTCAAGAGACACACCAACACGTATGCTATTCAAGAGACACACTAACATGTATGCTATTCAAGAGACACACTAACACGTATACTATTCAAGAGACGCACTAACTCGTATACTGTTCAAGAGACACACTAACACGTATACTATTCAAGTGACACACTAACACGTATACTATTCAAGAGACACACTAACACGTAGGCTGTTCAAGAGATACACTAACACGTACGCTATTCAAGAGACACACTAACACGTATACTATTCAAGAGACACACTAACGCGGGCGCTATTAAAGAGACACACTAACACGTATGCTATTCAAGAGACACACTAACATGTACGCTATTCAAGAGACACACTAACATGTATGCTATTCAAGAGACACACTAACACGTATGCTATTCAAGAGACACACTAACACGTATGCTGTTCAAGAGACACACTAACACGTATGCTATTCAAGAGATACACTAACACGTACGCTATTCAAGAGACACACTAACACTTATGATGTTCAAGAGACACACCAACAAGTGGGCTATTCAAGAGAAACACTAGCATGTATGCTATTAAAGAGACACACTAACACGTATACTGTTCAAGAGACACACTAACACGGGCGCTATTCAAGAGACACACTAACACGTACGCTATTCAAGAGACACAATATAACGTATACTATTCAAGAGGCACACTAACACGTATACTATTCAAGAGACACACTAACACGTATACTATTCAAGAGGCACACTAACACGTATACTATTCAAGAGGCACACTAACACGTATGCTATTTAAGAGACACACTAACACGTATGCTATTCAAGAGACACACTAACACGTATACTATTCAAGAGGCACCATATAACGTATACTATAACAATTCAAGAGACACGCTAGCCTATTCTGCTATTCTGACTATAGTATAGTCGGTAAAGTAGGAGATCATCAGATGGAATTCCTCTCCGATAACAAAGGGAAACATATCTGCCTGGATATCCCCCTTGTTGTTGGATACCCTTGTGACATTCTGGTAATCCTTATGGTTGAAGAAGATCCTCAATGTCAAAAAGCCTCGGAGGTTGTGGCGTAAGCTGATGTACATGCTGAAACAAGATAGAAACCGGCTGAAACCTTTTGTGCTACAGCGGTGGAACCGGTTTCATCTTCTGTCGACAGACATCTATTTTACCATCAGACGCAGATTTAGATCTGTGCCCTAATGCCCATCTGCATCCACAAACATGGTCCAGCAGTCACCAGCAAGTGAGTGAGTGAGTGAGTTTGGTTTTACGCCGCTTTTAGCAATATTCCAGCAATATCACGGCGGGGGACACCAGAAATGGGCTTCACACATTGTACCCATGTCGGGAATCGAACCCGGGTCTTCGGCGTGACGAGCGAACGCTTTAACCACTAGGCGACCCGACCGCCCCGTCACCAGCAAGTGTGGTGTGTGTTTGTGTGTGGGTCTTTCTCTCGTTTGCACCCTAAACATGTTTAGCTGTTAAACACAATCACACACATGTTTAGGCCCAATACGCGTCAAACCTATGGGACGCCCTGGGTTTGTGTTTAGGATCTAAACACAGGTTTTACTATACAGAATCCCACACTTTACGGTCAGCATTCGAATTTAGATTTAAATAGATGTATTATTTGGAAGAAGGGTAACGCAAACATGATAAAACTTACTCTTTTCCCAGTGTTGGCGTTGCAAAGATATGGACGCTGGTGGAATATACAATGGGGCAATTCAGTAGAAGTGACTTGCTGCTCTGAAAGAGGATACCAATTCCTAATGTATTTGATTTGTTTGTTTATTGTTTCAACGTCGCACTCAACAATATTCCTGCTGTATGATGAGGTTCACTTACATAATAATAATAATAATAATAATAATAATAATAATAATAATAATAATAATAATAATAAAAAAAATAAAATAAAATAAAAATAAATAAAATAATAATAATAATAATTTATGCATTTGTATAGCGCAGCATTCACTGTGCATAAGTGCTCTGTGCGCTACAATGAAACTTATAGTCAGTGGGATTGTTTTTTGAACAGGTGGGTCTTGATGGTTTTTTTGAAACAGTACCCTTGTAATTGCAGCCTTTTGTAGTAATATAGATTCCCCCTTATGGCAAACAAGGCTGCAGCATCATTAACAACGGCTTACTCACAACTGGGGGGTATCTGTAGGCTGACCGGTAGCAGGATCCTCTGATAGCTTGCCAGATGCCACCTGCGCATGCGCACGTTGGTGGCTCTAAACCACAAGGTGCATAACCTGTCTTGCACGAGTAGATGGCCTGCATCCGGGTCTCTGTGTATTGAACATCCGATGTGGCTCCATCAAGATGGGGAGGAGGGAGAACACAGTCGTAAGGTCCGGAATCTGGGAACATGCAATGATATTCTTCACTGACAGTGTAGGGGCGATCGGGTAGCCTAGTGGTTAGAGCGTTGGCACGCCACGCCGGAGACCCGGGTTCGATTCCCGACATGGGTACAATGTGTGAAGCCCATTTCTGGTGTCCCCCGCCGTGATATTGCTGGAATATTGCTAAAAGCGGCGTAAAACCATACTCACTCACTCACTCACTGACAGTATAGCTGAGAGAGGACTGATTACGTCACTACTGGCAATACTCCTGCAATATCACGGCGTTGAAAAACAAAACTGGATGTCATACCTTGTATCATGTGAGACATCTTCCCGAGGCAAGAAAGTAAACTGACTATAAAGTCCAGTTTCCACCCTTGCCGAACTAGGCTTGAATGACACTTACCTTTCTTTACCACCTTGTTGCCGTACACTTGAACCTCGCACACAGTGAACTCGTCTTGTGGTCTGACTTTGTGTCTGGTGAGTCGGGTGTACCTGCCGGGGATGGAGGACCGACAGACAAGTGACCGCGTGGTGCCGCTCGGAAACAAGCCATCATACGTGTAGCACCGCCGGCCCTTGTCTTCCGTCGTTGTGGGATCATCCATAAACACATCAATGGAGAAATCATGAAGCCTTTTGGCTGCAACACAAGTGAGACAGCATACGTTCAGAGCAGCCTATGAGCTGCGAGCAATTATGGGTATCTGTGTTCGAATTATGGCAAAGGTTGGTTGGCTGGTTTGTTGTTTGACGCCAAGGGACGCAACTCTGCACAGCGAATCGCGGCGCCTCAGACGACTTGGCCACCCGTCCCCCTTGTTACTTTAGAGCTGCCCCTGACACTGTCATCGGTACTTCTCAAAGTGGTGTTATGGAATAAACAGTGATTGGTTGATGTAACAGGAATACTGACGATGTCACTGACTCTAACGAAGTACTAGTGATCACGTCACTGGCTATTATGATGTGTGTTTGTTTGTTGTTTAACGCCGCACTCGGCAATATCGCAGCTATATGACGGCGGTCTGTAAATAATCGAGTCTGGACCAGACAATCCAGTGATTGACAACATGAGCAGCGATCCACGCAATTGGGATCGATGACATGCATCAACCAAGTCAGCGAGCCTGACCACCCGATCCCGTTAGTCGCCTCTTACGACAAGCATAGTCGCCTTTTACGGCAAGCATGGGTTGCCGAAGACCTATTCTACCCCGAATCTTCATGGATCAAAGGGTGTCTTTCAACATGAAATCACGGGGAACAGATAACTACGAAACGTCAATGCCAGACATTAACCAGTCTCGATTATCTACCGAAACAAATTCCATTTGGCTTGAAAGGAAATCAAGTGATGACACCAGGTGTCTTATGAGAATGTTCGGCCCTTCCTGTTGCACACGCCCCTCACAAAATTTGCATAAAAAGTAACAATAGCGACAGCGGCCTGTAAACAATCGACTATAGACCAGACAATCCAGTGACACAATATGCGGTTACTGACTTTCTTGAAACAATTTTGCATTTTACATCTGATGGAATTTGTGTCAATTGATACTGGTTATTCTCTGGTGTTGGAAGTTTATATATTCAACAGCAAAAGTTCCTGTGACACCAATATTTTAGTGTATTTTTCATACAAGTAAAGTTTGGTTTTCAATATTGTAGTACATGTATGGAATCAAGTCACAAAAACGCAACTGTTACAGAAAAACATGCATTCCATGCACAAGTTGACTTTTATGCAAGTCCCATGCATTTCACTACCCAAGAATGGGTATAAAAACATGTGCGTTAACGGGATTCCATATGCATTGTTTAGCATCGTGCTGACAACAACTACTCAGAAAAACAACAAAATTGCGCATTAATTCAACATTGCGAAATGCCACGCCTGTCCTAAAATGAGCGTCTGCGAGCCATTGGTATGCTTGAAGCAGGATCGAGTCAACGTGATGTTGCAAGACAATTTAACGTCCACAGAAACACCATTTGGTGCGTCATCATGGCCCAGGCATGACATTTCAACATGACAACGCCCGGCCTCATATTGCCCGACTTGTTCAGGATTCTCTTCAACAAAACAACGTGAATGTCATCTCCTGGCAGGCTCGCTCCCCCGATCTCTCACCAATCAAGCACATGTGGGATGAGATGGATCGGCGCCTTCGACGTCAACCAGGTGTTCCAGAGACACTCCAGGAACTTTGAAACATGCTCCAGCAGATATGGACAGATATCCCACAGGACTTTGTGCGACGCCTGGTCCATTCCATGAGACAAAGATGTGTTGCTTGCATCGCAACCAGAGGTGGACACACACGCTATTGATTTGTAAATTGACATTTTGTCATGTTCATGTTTTTTTTATATGAAATCACGCATTTTCAGAAGTCAGTATGGCAAATTAAACCATTTGAACACTAACAGGAGTCTTTTATCTGTTGCAAACCGAAATTGTTTTAGATTTGGTAAAAAACATAACTTTGCATTAAATCTTATTCAATGTCACAGGAACTTTTGTTGTTCAGTATATTTACTGACATACTGTAAGTTACCCTTTTTCCAAGAATACAAATTAAAGTGCAAAAACAAAAAACCCGACCCTACAACCCTATTGCTGGAAGGGTTGAAACAGGACACCCACATATCTTATTTTGGGCCTAACCCCTCAAATCTGACTTACTCCAAGAGCACTCTAAATCACACGTTTGTATGCTGGATACTTGAATCTTTGTGACAACATAGTAACCACCCAGGTCCACCTGCCACCATGCCGGATCACTCGATTTCACAGCTGACCAACAGGAATCGGACATCCAGTCGTTCCTGTCGTTCCCGTCCACCACCAACATCGCCGTCCTGACGTTGCTGCTTGCCGTGGACGTCCTGTCGTGTGCAAGGTTCGTCAGTGGCGCCTCTGATACAAACAGTACATACCTTTGACTTAAATTACTGATTTACAAAATATACAATCATTAACAGCTGTGGCAAATATCCTGGGCATCTTTGTCACCGTAGTCTCTCTTATCACTGAAAGCTCTGGGCGTCGGGTAGCCTAGTGGTTAAAGCGTTCGATAGTCACGCCGAAGACCCGGGTTCGATTCCCGACATGGGTACAATGTGTGAAGCCCATTTCTGGTGTCCCCCGCCGTGATATTGCTGTAATATTGCTAAAAGTGGCGTAATATCAAATTCACTCACTCACTCACCACAAGCTCTGATAAATTAGCAATCGTGTTTATAAGACAGCCAATCCAGACGATTCTTTTAGACGTGAGTTTAGCACAGATCTACATTCAAAAGAAAGAGTGGGCATCAGATATTATCAGCCAAATCAAAAGACTGAAGTAAATGAACTGTTACCTTGAAAAGATACTTTCCTCAGTGTTTGGAAGGGAAATCTCAATGGTACCTAGCTTTACCGGTAATATTTGAAACGGCATGTAACAAGGCGAATCAGTATTGATGCATCCTCGAGACTCCAGTTTGTTTTATTCCATTCTCATGAATAAACCCTGGGCCTATTCGACTGAATACTTTCGTTTTGAGTCCGAGTCGAGTGAGTGAGTGAATTGGGTTTAATGCGGCTTTTAACAGTATTACAGTTATATCACGGCGTGTCAGCTTAATGTGGGAGGAAAGCCCGAAGTGATGCAGGTCTCAAACGTTTACCACTTCGGTGAAACCCACGAGCACGGGTATGGTGCTGACAAACCTAAAACCATAATCGGGGCGAATCGGGATTCGAAGCCACAATCATAGGTTTCTGGCGTGCCCAAGGGACGCAACTCTGCACAGCGAATCGCTGCGCCTCAGACGACTGGGCCACCCGTGCCCCTTGTTACTTTAGAGCTGCCTCTGCCACTGTCATCGGTACTTCTCAAAGTGGTGTTATGGAATAAACAGTGATTGGTTGATATGACATGAATACTGACGATGTCACTGACTCTGGCGCCTGAGACGACTGGGCCACCCGTGTCCCCCGAGACGGATTCGAAATATACTCCTCAATAGATCTTTTTCTTCTTATGTCTATTTTGGTATTATAACACACATCTTTCCAATTGTGGTCGTTCTTTAACTTGTTTTGAGTAGTAAAGCCCACGTCATAACGCTTATCATTATCCTAGATAGAAACAAATAACTCGTTGTCTTGAAAAGGAGTCCCAGTGAAGTGGGAGATGCAGATCTAGACTTGCTTTATTTACGGCATTTGCGTTACAGAAAGGGCTGGGCGGAAGGGGAAAATATGTTTCAGGGACTGTGAGACAGACTAACCTCACCTTAAAATGCAACCAACATAACTCATGAGTGAGATAATGCTGTGCCACGTTACTGATGGACTGAGATGGAGATGGGGGCATAACATATGTATCTTTATTGTCTCAAAGTGAGATTGACCAATCAGAGAGCAGATCTACTGATCCCACATGAGCCCGTATACCGTCAGTAAAAATCCAAATGGTTGATACTGACCTAATATGAGACCTTATACCGCCAGTGACAGCCATCTTGGATTTTCCAACACCCACCTCACGTTTCACATGGAAATTCTGGGACTGACATTCTTTTTTTGACACTGTTTTGTGTTTTACTATCATTAATTGTGATGTGCAAGGACATTAATCTGTTTTTTAGATCATGTTCGTGACTTTATTGTTAAAATTATAGTTAAAATTTTCAACACGGTTTGGCCTCTAAGGTTTGAAGAGTGGTCTCCCTTTGACATAAGCAATGGCTGTCAAACGCTTTGTTTGTAGCACCGATGATGAAATCTCAGATAAAAGGCAAAATGTGCGATATGGATACCTTTCGGCATAATAAATTCGTTCTGGTGTCTATAATTGCCGTATACGGTGTCAGATTAGGTCAGCACAAAAAAAATATTGGGCTCGGCTGACATTCGTTATGGTGGCTTTAGTTGCCGTATACGGTGTCATGTTAGGTAAGCATAAAAATATTGGCCATCTTAGCGCTAAGATTACCGTAAGTCAACATTAGCTCGTCTTGGAGCTAAAGATCATCGTTAGTCAACGTCAGCACAGCTTGGCGCTACGATTATCGTAAGTCAGCGTTTGTCCGTCTTGGCGTTAAGATTATCGTTAGTCAACGTCAGCACAGCTTGGCGCTACAATTATCGTAAGTCAACGTTAGTCCGTCTTGGCGTTAAGATTATCGCAAGTCAACGTACGCGTTACCCCGTCTTGGCGCTAAGATTATCGTAAGTCAACGTTAGCCCGTCTTGGCGCTAAGATTATCGTAAGTCAACGTTTGCACAGATTGGCGCTAAGATTATATTAAGTCAACGTCAGCCCAGCTTGGAGCTAAGATCGCTTCGAGGAATGGGTCCATGGGAACAAAGTACAGCAAATTGATGTATGACCTTGTAGGTCCCAATAAAGGAAGAAAAAGTCTATTAAACATGGAAATAGTTTGTAAATAATTCAGAAGAAACCATCTTAATAATCATTAAAACTCTAAAAGCAGAGTCCATTGTACGACTCCGACTATATCATAAGTAAGTGTTTATGAATCACTTTCAAATAGTGATGACACCAGGTGTTCGCAATATGGTGAGTGTATCCTGCCCCATCGGTAGCACCCGTCACAAACACATGCAAAGGCAAGTCAATTGTTTGCCTGAAAGTCGGCTCAATTCAATCTTCAGTGCCTACCTAGAAAGGCATGTCTCCATTTAGACACGCTGACTTTCCTGAGTTTGAATCCAATTATGCTGGTGACGACGCGCACCTGACTGAGTGGAATGTAATGAGGATATACCACCAGTGGTCGACCGTTAATCTCAATCTGAAAATAAGAGCCATAAAATCAATTCCATAATGAAAAGAAATCTCTGCTAAAACAGTCCAATCGTTGTAGGAACCCGAGTGGGTCGCAAGCATGCGTTTATGAATTACCATCAAATAATGACACAAGGTGATCGAGAAAACAAACGTGAAACTAATAAAGAAAAAACCTGAACTTATGCTGAATTTAATAGAGCGGGAATCTTGTTGGAGACAATAAATATATTTTTCGGTCATTGTACAACACATATTATTTTCCAGACAGGACATCCAGTATATCAAAGAAACACATTATGTTTTTAGGTTAAATATAGAGCAAAATTACTCATAGGTTTAATATAAAGAAACACAGATTCCAGATTGTTTTGGAATTATTTTATTAAAAACAAACTTATAAAGATTAACCAGCAGGTCACACATTGGAACCAACAGATTTTCCAAAGTAACCATGACAACCCCCTAACAACCGTAACCCCCCATCCACCCTCAAGTGATTCGGTAGAAATACAAAAAATATCTAAAAAAAATATCAAAGTAACTTACATGCATGTGCTCTGATAGAAAGGCCATGACAACATGCCACTCTTGGCCAGGGATTAGAAATGGACTGTTGTCTACGTATTTCGTTTGAGGCTCTCCGGCATTTGTGCTATGGGAAACATACCACTGTCGAGGTGACATCTCATATACAAGTGCAAACTGCGCCTGACTGTCAGCTTGAAGCATTAGTACCGAGCTGAAATACACATGCACGTGCACACTTGAATATTACTTCGTGGACATTTATATACTTTTCTGTTTGTTTAACGTCAACTAAGCTAAAATAAGTTTTGTTTATGGCAAGCAGTTTGTCAACAAGGTTTGTTTTTGGATTCAGTGGCAGAGAAGCACATACGTTTGGTCGGCCCTTCAATAGTAAGCTGAACGTACTATAACTAAATTTATATCTAAAGCAGTCATTAAAATATTGTTGAAAGCAGCTTTAAACCCAACACAATACCTCTACAAAAAGCCACACCATGCAAGATAGTAAGTGAATGAGTGAGTGAAGCCGATGATATTACGTTTTTATAGGGATGTAGATCGTGTTAGGAGTGAGTGAGTTGCTGTGTGATAACCGCTTGGATCGGTATTCAAGTTAAATACGTGTCAACCTAAAGTGATGCAGGTCTCAGACGTTTACCGCTTTGGTGAAACCCACGAACGGTGCTGACAAACCAAGAACAATAATCGGGGTGAAACGGGATTCGAACCCAAGAGGTTTTAGGCGTACCCAAGGGACCCAACTCCACACAGCGAATTGCGGCGCCTCAGACGACCCCGAGATCATGTTAAAGTACTGTCGGAAATACTTCAAATATGCTTTTGTTCGTTTTAATCAAGATAGAATGATTCACAGACTCAGAGATAGATAGATAGAGAGAGAGAGAGAGAGAGAGAGAGAGAGAGAGAGAGAGAGAGAGAGAGAGAGAGAGAGAGAGAGAGAGAGAGAGACTATTTATTAGTTTAGATAGGGTGTATTAGCGAACTGCCCAGCTTTGGGGTTTACCATTCATACCAACAAGCACACGGCACGAAAAATATAACAAAGAAGGTAGGGTTCAATAAACCGGGACGTAAAAACATATTACACAGCGTTGATTAGGCGTACTGTGTACAAGCTATATGATCAGAAGGTACTCCCGATTTCTAGAAGTCGAGAGGAAATTAAAGACACATTAAATCTTTCGTCAGGACAAAAAACACCCATGGTACCATCAGATAAAGGCAATCGTGTCATTGTTTTCGACGACGGAACCTGTGATCCGGGGCTTATTGATGGATGTGAGCTAGTTTTTGAGGCTGAAGGAAGATGTTGATGATCAAAAGGAAACGAATGGTATAGAATTGTTGGAGCATCAGCTACTCTTCAATTTAAACAACCCCAGTATCATTGTCATGGAGAACGCTAGTTATCACAACGTCGGGGAACCAGATACTGTCATTCAGGAACATATGACATCTTGCAAAGTCAACCTCAGAACATTTGAAATAAACTTCAATATATTTATAAAATTCCCCTGAATAAGAAACCAGTAAAATACAAGACAGATGTTCATGTCCTGGCGGCGAAACACGGTCACGTTGTGTTACGTACCCCACTCAGACGTTGCGAGCTCTGTAGCTAACTGTAAAGGGTACGTGGCAAGACATAACAAAATATTCAAACTCACAAAGGTGAAAGGGTTGATCCGACCATCCTTTGCTAGAATCACAAAAGAGGCATCGCCCTAGATATCAGCCTTGTTGCGCATGTTATCATACCTTTGGGTGACAGTTCTGATACGTCTTCAGCTGAGTCAGATGCTGGCTAAAGAAATCATCTGTGCAACAACAAACACGTCTTGATACTAAAACCCCAACCTTCCAATACTGATCTCGTAGCATTTCTTTTCCATCATTTTCCCAAGCAAACATAATGCAGTAATATCTTAATTGCTAGCCCCGTCAAAGCATATCTCAATAGTACAGCAATGTTTACCTCAGGCTATTGACCGCATGCATGACAGTGACCCGTGAAGATCCGGGGTAGAATAGGTCTTCAGCAACCCATGCTTGCCGTGAAAGACGACTATGCTTGTCGTAAGAGGCGACTAACGGGATCGGTTGGTCAGTCTCGCAGACTTGGTTGATGCATGTCATCGTATCTCCAATTGCGTGGATCAATGCTCATGATGTCAATCACTGGATTGTCTGGTCCAGATTCGATTATTTACAGACCACCGTCATACAGCTGGAATATTGCTGAGTGCGGCGTTAAACAACAATCAAACAAACAACATCCATGACAACTTACGAATATTTAAAAGGTTATTGTCATTTGACCTAAAAAGTACCTTTCTTGGCTATTCGCAGTGTCGGATAGGCTAGATGAAGTAGGTTTGCGTTATTTATTTCATAGCGCTATGGTTAGTATTTATTAAATGAAGCTAGAAAAGCATTTCCGACAGTACGTTGTTTAAGGAGTCTATATCGTCAATGTGTGAATATAGATAGAGGTGAGGTGAAATGGGGTTTATTGCACTTATATAGCGACGTGCATGTACGTGTGTGTGTGTGTGTGTGTGTGTGTGTGTGTGTGTGTGTGTGTGTGTGTGTGTGTGTGTGTGTGTGTGTGTGTGTGTGTTTGTGTGGCTTCTTGTACTAGTCCGGACTGATGCCGATTTATAGTGCTAGCTCACTGAGATACCATGCCGCAGCTTAACATGAATACCCCACTCAGACACAGTATACTGACTCCGAGCCGACCAGTCCTTGTTTAGCCCCTCAATGCCGAGCGCCAGACAGGGTAACAACAAGTACCTTTTTTTAACGTCTTTTGATATGACGCGACAGGGGATCAAACCCCGGACCTTCCGCTATCAGGGCGGACGCTCTACCACAAGACCACGGAGGCGGCGAATATAGATAGAGCTTTCATTTGATGATTCCATTACAATACGAAGGTATTATTACATCAATATCATGGTAAGCTTTAAGAGTGATTTAAGAGTGGGGATCTTACATTCTCTCCTTGGAGGACACCCAAGACTCAAGGACATCGCCGACAGTCAGAGGACATTGGACATCCACGCTTGTTAGCTGAAACCAGGTGCAATCAGACATGCAAGATCACCATCTTGTGGTACCATTACATTGGCGATAAATTATGATTGTTCGGAAAACCAGTTTTCTCACATCAAACATTTACAGGGTAAAGATGCTATAATGATATACAGTGGAACCTTTTATCCGGACACTGCTTTCACTCCGATTCTATTTTGAACAGGCTGTACGCCGCACCAACCATCGTTAATTTGGGCATTTGTATTCCCAGAACGCCTGGATTACCGAGGTTTGTCTGTGAAATAACATATTATATAACAAATACGCAATACACTCTAACGGTATCACAAGATATTCCCTTTACTTAATTATTTTCCGGATTTTGCTGACTTGGCGTTTCGTTTGACATGGCGTTTCATCTGGTCGTCCTTCTTTTGTGTCATTCACAAAAATAGCGCTGCGGCAATATAGCTCACCTGGATATGTACTCAACAGTAACTTAACCAACGTTGTTGTAGTAAAAGGTATTAACAAATATGAACCAAGTAACTGAATGTTTCTAAGTCTGCAAGAACGTATGTACTTTCAGAGAACACTGTTACGTTGCGATAATCAACAGTTAACATTATGAACACACAATGCCAATTTGACAGTTGTAACAGTTAAATTTTCTTTACCCTAAGTTTAAACTTTTGCCAAACCTTTTTTTCAAATATTTTTCAAAAAAACGCACCAAAAAACCTCATGATTAGAACAAAATATGATGTCATAACAGAACCATACATGCCAAAGTTGAGCTTCCTTCGTCTATATATAGTGCGAGGGAATGCATATTGAGCCAATATACCAGAATGGTCAAAGTGCGATGTCAAAGTGCAATGTCAAATAAAGACCCAAAATTAACATATCGTCAAAAAAGGAACACATGTCCCGAGGACCATATTAGCTTCATATATGTACCAAATTTGGTTACATTTGGAGTATAAATGGCTGAGTAATTGCCAAAATTAGTTTTGTTCAATATGGCTGCCGTGGCGGCCATATTGGAAATCGGATTCGAACCTCTTGAGAAAATTCAGGTGCCATTACAGGTAGGAACTCGCATGTGAGGTGAACTTTCAACTTCACTGGTCAAGTGTTTTTTGATGAGATGATAACGTTGAGATAATGAGTGAGTGAGTGAGTATGGTTTTATGCAGCTTTTAGCCTGAAAAATTAAAGAAAAACACTTTGCAACAATGTATTTTTTGTGGCACACAATTTCTCTTCTTATCAACAGTCTCAAGCATAATTATCAAGAGAATATTAAATGGCCGGTCCCTTATTTCAACATGTGACGTTATTATCATAGTAATGAAATCAGTTAGACTCACAAAATCTCCCGGCACTTCAAACGTTGTCTGTCTGCATGACATGTCACGACTCGGCCATCCTGCACTTGAATTGCACTTGATGACGTCACTTCCGGCACAGACACTGAATCCCTCTTGACACTGGTAGGTTGCCATGGCTTCAGTGGCTGTATAGGACATGCGCAGAGGGGTCAGGTCGGCTAGAGGAGGCTTGGGGCAGCTGAAGGGGGTCCATGCATCCCCTCAAACAGGTAAAAAAAGTGAGTGAGTGAGTTGGGTATAACGCCGCTTTTAACAGTATTCTAGTTATATCGCGGCGTGTCAGCTTATTGTGGGAGGAAAGCCCGAAGTGATGCAGGTCTCAGACGTTTACCACTTCGGTGAAATCCACGAGCACGGGTATGGTGCAGACAAACCTAGAAACATAATCGGGGCGAACCGGGATTCGAACCCACGATCATAGGTTTCTGGCGTTCCCAAGGGACGCAACTCTGCGAAGCGAATCGCAACGCCTTAAACGACTTGACAACCCTTGCCCCCAGGTAGAAATAGATTACATGAACGTGTTTTGGTAACAGTTGAAGATGCGTCGAGAAATAAGAGAAATTCTTGCCAAACAGTTTCAAACAGCGTCATACGCAGAATTTGTTTGATCAAGGCTACAACATTCAAGGCCTAAGTAATGCTCTCAAAAGGCTTTATGGTAGACATGTGGAGGACATCTCCAAATTTGACGCATCAGGTACAAAAATGATGTCCGATGCAATTCCCCATTTTGACTTGTACCATATGTTCCCGTATTTTTTCAGGTAAAAAACTGACTTGCCTTTGCATGTATTTGTGATGGATGCCACCGGTGGGGCAGGATACGCTCACTTTTTTGCAAACACCTGGTATCATAACTTTATAGTGATTCATAAACACATATGATATAGTCAGAATCGTACTATCGTCTCTGGTTTATACAGAGATTTCTATTGGATATGGAAAGGGTTTTGTCGCTTTATTTATTATCATCTGAGTCAAATATTTTTCTCCCATTATCGTTAAGGTATTTAAACACATATTTTTGTGGGAAGTTCGTGTCTACATGATGCCGTCATTCAACCAGTAAATAATGATACAGTATTCGACGTAATAAGCGCCCAGGGCGCTCTCAAAATTAGAAATAGGGGGCTCTTATTAGAAAAATATTTTAGTGAGTCGAAAGATAAATTTCGTGGTTTATGCTGACAGCCTGAAATGTTTATATACGACACTTATATTTTTTTCAGAATTAAACTGCCCATAATTAAGGGTGCATTTAACACACAAGTGCGTATTATACGTGAATAATAAATCTTGTGTACATTAATCAATCGAAAGGGGTGCTAATTTGGATTGTACACTAGCCAATGTATTAGCTAATATCGCCGTGGGCGCTTATTACGTAGAAAACGGTATGTGTAGACACGTGTATACAAGGTTTAAGGCTACAACGTGGGACGTTATACCACCAGGCTTTTACAGTTATGTATGTGTATTTGCACAAAGGCAACTCAAAATGTATTGGACTATGGTGGTTTGATGTGTGTATTTTAAGCAAATATGCAGCTTATCTGGAACTCTGGAGTTCGGAATATGACCGAAGTGATTCAGTTCGTTGAGGAGTTGCGAGCATGACTATGGTGCTAACCAAATATACATAATCCAGGAAAGGAACTGTGATTCGAACTCACGATGAGCTGCAACACTGCATCGTAGCAAATCAGCCGCCTCAGACCACTCGACCACCCGTGTCGTACCAGAGTGTGAATAAAGGACCAACATACTGTGTTAACATTCTGTGTTAATATGTAGTGTAAATATATTGTGTTAACATACTGTGGTAACATACTGTGTTAACATTCTTTGTTAATATATAGTGTTAATATATTGTGTTAACATACTGTGTTAACAAACTGTGTTAATATACTGTGTTAATATATTGTGTTAACATACTGTATTAATATACTGTGTTAGTATACTGTGGTAACATACTGTGTTAGTATTTTGTGTTAATATACTGTGTTATTATACTGTGTTAACATACTGTGTTAATATACTGTGTTAGTATATTGTGTTAATATACTGTGGTAACATACTGTGTTAACATACTGTGTTAATATACTGTGTTAGTATCTTGTGTTAATATACTGTGGTAACATACTGCATTAACATACTGTGGTAACATACTGTGTTAAGATACTGTGTTATTATACTGTGTTAACATACTGTGTTAATATACTGTGTTAGTATCTTGTGTTAATATACTGTGGTAACATACTGTGTTAACATACTGTGTTAATATACTGTGTTAGTATCTTGTGTTAATATACTGTGGTAACATACTGCATTAACATACTGTGGTAACATACTGTGTTAAGATACTGTGTTACTATACTGTGGTAACATACTGTGTTAAGATACTGTGTTATTATACTGTGGTAACATACTGCATTAACATACTGTGGTAACATACTGTGTTAATATACTGTGTTAATATACTGTGTTAGTATCTTGTGTTTATATACTGTGGTAACATACTGTGTTAACATACTGTGTTAATAAAATGTGTTAGTATCTTGTGTTAATATACTGTGGTAACATACTGCATTAACATACTGTGGTAACATACTGTGTTAAGATACTGTGGTAACATACTGTGTTAATATACTGTGTTATTATACTGTGTTAGTATCTTGTGTTAATATACTGTGGTAACATACTGCATTAACATACTGTGGTAACATACTGTGTTAAGATACTGTGTTATTATACTGTGGTAACATACTGCATTAACATACTGTGGTAACATACTTTGTTAATATACTGTGGTAACATACTGTGTTAACATTCTGTGTTAATATACTGTGTTAGTATCTTGTGTTAATATACTGTGTTAAGATACTGTGTTATTATACTGTGGTAACATACTGCATTAACATACTGTGGTAACATACTGTGTTAATATACTGTGGTAACATACTGTGTTAACATACTGTGTTAATATACTGTGTTAGTATCTTGTGTTAATATACTGTGGTAACATACTGTGTTAACATACTGTGTTAATATACTGTGTTAGTATCTTGTGTTAATATACTGTGTTAAGATACTGTGTTATTATACTGTGGTAACATACTGCATTAACATACTGTGGTAACATACTGTGTTAATATACTGTGGTAACATACTGTGTTAACATACTGTGTTAATATACTGTATTAGTATCTTGTGTTAATATACTGTGGTAACATACTGTGTTAACATACTGTGTTAATATACTGTGTTAGTATCTTGTGTTAATATACTGTGGTAACATACTGCATTAACATACTGTGGTAACATACTGTGTTAAGATACTGTGGTAACATACTGTGTTAATATACTGTGTTTTTATACTGTGTTAACATACTGTGTTAATATACTGTGTTAGTATCTTGTGTTAATATACTGTGGTAACATACTGCGTTAACATACTGTGGTAACATACTGTGTTAAGATACTGTGTTATTATACTGTGTTAATATACTGTGTTAATATACTGTGTTGACATACTGTGGTAACATACGGTGTTTACATACTGTGTTAATATATTGTGGTAACATACTGTGTTAGTATCTTGTGTTAACATACTGTGGTAGCATACTGTCTTAACAAACTGTGGTAACATACTGTGGTAACATACTGTGTTGACATACTGTGGTAACATACTCACCCTTGACTGGTTTAGAGACAAACACCTCCACTTCACACAATGCCATGACGTCATCGGGGCGGGGCGTGGTCACGCGTTTGATTCTGACATAGCGACCAAAGCTGTCAGGCAGACAGTCCATAGTGGTCTTCTCACGAGATGGAACCACGGCCAGGTACGTATAGCAGGACGAGACGTCAGACTCAGGGTAAACTTGGGGATTAGTCTTGTAGACCTCCACCTGGAAGTCATGACGATATCTCTCTGAAAAACGAAAGATGTTCATTATTTCATGATACATATATAATAGTATAATATACTTTGGTATATTTGGTTCAACGCTTCTTTGGTGTTACGTATCTTTAGTGTTAGTATACATGTTTGTGTCATGCTGAGTTTTAATGATCGGCAAAATGCGCCTAAATAATGTAGCTCACCTATCATGGAAATCGGATCTTTTCGTGACTCCGATACCATACCTTTCTGCCTTAAGATCTAAGGACCTCCATAGAAGACCTGGCCAGGTGAACCCTGCGCAAACTTTGAGCACCCAATCAAACAGATTTGGGTTCCTCGGCCAATCAGCTGTCAGTTGATTCGATTTTTTTTATTTCGATTTGTACGAATGAAAATAGAACAGAAACATTTTTGATGGTACTTCCTGGGTGTGGACATGACATATCTACAATCTTAAAATGGCGCCACCATACCTATCTTTTCGGCATTTGTCGTTTAAGCTCGTTCTCGAGATACAGAAATCAGACGCAATTTATTTATTGTTTTCTTTTGACCCACGCCGCACTCAGCACCAGCTTAGATATATGACCGCTGTCTGTAGATAATTGAATCTGGTCCAGACAATCCACTGATTGACATCGTGAGCATCTGTCTTCGCGATTGGGATACGATGACACACATCAACCAGGTCACCGAGCCCGACCACCCAGTCCCGTTAGTATAAATCAGATGTGGGTGGATGCGTTGCTCGCGTGTAACGAGAATTCGACGCTGAATGTCCCCCTTAGAACATTCGCCTGACACAGCTTCTTATGGGCGGTGGGGTAGCCTGGTGGTTTAAGCGTTCGCTCACCACGCCAAAGACCAGGGTTCGATTCCCCACATGAGTGCAATGTGTGAAGCCCATTTCTGTTGCTGGAATATTGCTAAAAGCGGCGTAAAACCATACTCACTCACTTCCATAAAGATGTACCCAGATCTTCACGCACGGATGTATAGGAATAATGATCAGATTTTAATGAGATTGTTGCTGCCCTGGATAGTCATTAGTTTAAAATGTCAATACAGACAGCCACTTAACCAAGGTTTCTCCTGACTAAAACAGAAATTTAAAAATTTGGACAAAACATGATGTCATCATAAAGCGAAATAAATGCACCGTCCTTAGTCTGGCAGTTTCAGAGAAGAGGTTTCAGAGAGCCAAACATGTATTTGGAGAACATTTAAGAGCATGGTCAAAACAAGGTCAAACTTTAGTATAGCAAAGGAAAACGTGGTGAATCCCACTACCAAATGGATCAGATTTCATTTATTTTACCTCTTCATCAAAATGATCAAATACTGACCACACATTGTGTTTTCAGGGCTGGTCGGGTAGCCTGGTGGTTAAAGCGTTCGCTCGTCACGCCGAAGACCCGGGTTCGATTCCCGACATGGGTACAACGTGTGAAGCCAATTTCTGGTTTTCCCCGCCGTGATATTGCTGGAATATTGCTAAAAGCGGCGTAAAATCATACTCACTCACTTGAGTTTTCAACATGTCTGCTATGTCGGCCATTTTGGAAATCGGATTTATTCTGAGGAAACATGGCTGCACGTGCATTATATAATCAAATAAGTGGACACATTATTACCGCAGGCGGTGCAGCTGGTCACGTGACTGATGCCGACGCTCTTGACGTAGTAGTATCCCTGGAGGTCTACCTGCCACCATGAATCAGCATCGTTGCTTGTTGTTTCCCAACACGTCGCCTGGGAGCCATCAACGACAGACGCTGGGTCGGGTCCCGTTGAAGCCTCTGCTCTCTTTCGTAATGCCATGTTTTGGACGAGGGGCACTGAAATGGATGGGTTCTGTCATAAACCACCATCTCCAAGAACGACCTTTCATCGGATATGTGCCTTTAACTAAAGAACAAGTGGATGAATTGTTTTGGGGAAAGGATGCATTATGTTTAAGAAATAAAGTTTGCTCTACCCCCATGTGTAGTGTAACAAAGTATAGTTTATTAGACTGCCCTGAAATTAACGTGTAACGACGATGCTTGGTCGAGTGCTTTGACGTTGTAAAACTTCAGGCACAATGGTGCCCATTTCACATCACTCAACTAGGTCACACCTTGTAACCACTAACTGCAACAACCCCACACTAGTATTTTTTATCCAAATACTTATATATATTTGTTTGTTTATTTGTTGTTTAACGCCGCTCTCAACAATATTCGAGCTATATGATGCCGGACTGTAAATAATCGAGTCTGGACCAGACAATCCAGTGATAATAATCATGAGCATCGGTCCACGCATCTGGGATACGATGACATACATCAACCAAGTCAGCGAGCCTGACCACCCGATCCCGTTAGTCGCCTCCTACGACAAGCATTATTGCACTTATGTAGCGACGTGCATGTACGTGTGTGTGCCGGTTTATACTAGTCCGGATTGCCGATTTTATTGTGCTAGCCCACTGAGATACCATGTCGCAGTTGACCACTAGACCACGGAGGTAGTCCCCAAAGACAGAAAGCTACGTTTATAACGATAATGCCTATAACGAATTGACGGATATAACGAACTGTTTTTTGGTCCCGTCCATTTATGCTGTATATATGCTTATAACGAACTACGGTAACAACGGACTAAAATAAGTGTTCCCTTTGCGTTCGATATAACCGTAGTATGCTGAAGATCCTTCACAGAGGAGGATACACAGAACACAGAGACCATCAAAACGCAAATTGCCACTCGGATTATATTTGTATTCATTGAGCACTTGCACGTTAACTTGATGTCCTCCTCATTTCCTTGTTTGACCTTTACCTTTGTGAACCCCACGCAGGTTTCCATTGTTCATCTTGATCATCCTGGCAGAGATGTTCTCGAACCGTAGACAATCAATCTTAAGGCTTTCAAAAAAATGAGGCACTTGCGCCATTTCCGTCTTGTCTACCTCAATCTGAAACCAAGAAGTGGTTAGAACGGTTAGCCAGGAAGCTGTGGGCTGGCAGATATTAAAGTGAGGTGACACACCAGCTAACACCAGCTTACACCAGTTACACAAGCTCACACCAGCTCACACCAGTTACACCAGCTCACATCTGTTACACCAGCTCATACCAGTTACACCAGCTCACACCACCCACCTCACACCAGTTACACCAGCTAATACCAGTTACACCAGCTCACACCAGCTCACAGCAGTAACCAGCTCACACCAGCTCACAGCAGTAACCAGCTCACAGCAGTTACACAGGCTCATACCAGCTCACACCAGTTCACACCAGTTACACCAGCTCGCACCAGCTCGCACCAGCTCGAACCAGCTCACACAACTGACACCAGCTCGCACTAGTTACACCAGCTTTCAGTTTCAGCAGCACTCACATGTTAAGCACAGTAACCATATTGACACATTACAATGCCTCACATCCGCTAAACGCAACATGACATCCAATGAAGTTGAAACATTCGGGTTGATGTCTAACTGTTTCCCTGAGAGTATGCAGTCGTCGGTCCGCAGAATCACTGATTTGAAGTGAACCATTCATATAAATGTCACCGCTATTTTGCCTTTCACGTCCAATGGAATATGTTTCGGCAGATAATCCAGACTGATTATTGTCTGTCGTTGACGTTTCTTGATGGCTCCGGTGAGCATTTTTTGTATCCTTGTGTCTAAACACAAAGTTCAAGTCGGCGAAATTAAATAAATTGTTTTCCGGTTGGCAGTACAAATAAAACAGCCGATCGGACATTGAGAAAAGGGAACATTATTTATGGGCTACTTACACGAATGATGTCGGGCATAACGGTAAAGACCAAGTGGTGTTCAGATCCAGGGGTAGAGAGGCTCGTGTTGATCAACGTTGTTTGGCTTCCATAGTCAACTGATCCGATCAGTGTCGAGTCGTTCGAATTCAGCTCCACGGTGAAGGCAATGGTGGTGTTCTCGATCTCAAGGAAAAACTTGGCTCTGGGGAAAAGAAGATAAAGAACTTTGTGTTTGTTCGTTTGTTTGTTTGTTGTTTAATGTTTTTTCTAGATTTACTGATATCGTTGCTTTTTATGGTAATATTGAATGACCCACGGGGATAAGGTGTATCTGCTTGGTAACTACAATGTATGTGTAAATGTATGTCTTTTGCCTTTGTTGTTTAACGCTACACTAATCAATATAGAAGCACTGTGACGGCGGTATATAGATGATAAAGTTTGGACCAGACAATCCAGTCTTTGACATCATAAGCATCGATCTATGCAAGTGAAATAAGTGTCCTACATGGGTGGAGAGTGTGTCCTACATGGGTGGAGAGTGTGTCCTACATGGGTGGAGAGTGTGTCCTACACGGGTGGAGAGTGTGTCCTACACGGGTGGAGAGTGTGTCCTACACGGGGGGAGAGAGTGTCCTACATGGGTGGAGAGTGTGTCCTACACGGGTGGAGAGTGTGTTCTACATGAGTGGAGAGTGTGTCCTACACGGGTGGAGAGTGTGTCCTACAAGGGTGGAGAATGTGTCCTACATGGGTTGAGAGTGTGTCCTACACGGGTGGAGAGTGTGTCCTACATGGGTGGAGAGTGTTCTACACGGGTGGAGAGTGTGTCCTACATGGGTGGAGAGTGTGTCCTACACTGGCGGAGAGTGAGTCCTACACGGGTGGAGAGTGTGTCCTACACGGGTGGAGAGTGTGTCCTACACTGGCGGAGAGTGTGTCATACATGGGTGGAGAGTGTGTCCTACACGGGTGGAGAGTGTGTCCTACACGGGGGGAGAGAGTGTCCTACATGGGTGGAGAGTGTGTCCTACACGGGGGGGAGAGAGTGTCCTACACGGGTGGAGAGTGTGTCCTACATGGGTGGAGAGTGTGTCCTACATGGGTGGAGAGTGTGTCCTACACGGGTGGAGAGTGTGTCCTACATGGGTGGAGAGTGTGTCCTACATGGGTGGAGAGTGTGTCCTACATGGGTGGAAAGTGTGTCCTACATGGGTGGAGAGTGTGTTCTACATGGGTGGAGAGTGTGTCCTACATAGGTGGAGGCAGTGTGTCCTACATGGGTGGACAGTGTGTCCTCCACTGGTGGAGAGTGTGTTCTACATGGGTGGAGAGTGTGTCCTACACTGGTGGAGAGTGTGTTCTACACGGGTGGAGAGTATGTCCTACATGGGTGGAGAGTGTGTCTCCTACATGGATGGAGAGAGTGTGTCCTACATGGGTGGAGAGTGTGTCCTACATGGATGGAGAGAGTGTGTCCTACATGGGTGAAGAGTGTGTCCTACATGGATGGAGAGAGTATGTACTACATAGGTGGGGAGTGTATCCTACATGGGTGGAGAGTGTGTCCTACATGGGTGGAGAGTGTGTCCTACATGGGTGTAGAGTGTGTCCTATACGGGTGGAGAGTGTGTCCTACATAGGTGGAGGGAGTGTGTCCTACATGGGAGGAGAGTGTGTCCTCCATGGTTGGAGAGTTTGTCCTACATAGGTGGTGGGAGTGTGTCCTACACGGGTGGAGAGTGTGTCCTACATAGGTGGTGGGAGTGTGTCCTACACGGGTGGAGAGTGTGTCCTACATAGGTGGAGGGAGTGTGTCCTACAAGGGTGGAGAGTGTGTTCTACATGGGTGGAGAGTGTGTCCTACATGGATGGAGAGTGTGTCCTACACTGGTGGAGAGTGTGTCCTACATGGGTGGAGAGTGTTCTACACGGGTGGAGAGTGTGTCCTACATGGGTGGAGAGTGTGTCCTACACTGGCGGAGAGTGAGTCCTACACGGGTGGAGAGTGTGTCCTACATGGGTGGAGAGTGTGTCCTACACGGGTGGAGAGTGTGTCCTACATGGGTGGAGAGTGTGTCCTACACGGGTGGAGAGTGTGTCCTACACGGGGGGAGAGTGTGTCCTACACGGGTGGAGAGTGTGTCCTACATGGGTGGAGAGTGTGTCCTACATGGGTGGAGAGTGTGTCCTACATGGGTGGAGAGTGTGTCCTACATGGGTGGAGAGTGTGTCCTACATGGGTGGAGAGTGTGTCCTACATGGGTGGAGAGTGTGTTCTACATGGGTGGAGAGTGTGTCCTACATAGGTGGAGGGAGTGTGTCCTACATGGGTGGAGAGTGTGTCCTCCACTGGTGGAGAGTGTGTTCTACACGGGTGGAGAGTGTGTCCTACACTGGTGGAGAGTGTGTCCTACACGGGTGGAGAGTGTGTCCTACATGGGTGGAGAGTGTGTCCTACATGGGTGGAGAGTGTGTCCTCCACTGGTGGAGAGTGTGTTCTACACGGGTGGAGAGTGTGTCCTACATGGGTGGAGAGTGTATCCTACATGGATGGAGAGAGTGTGTCCTACATGGGTGAACAGTGTGTCCTACATGGATTGAGAGAGTGTGTCCTACATGGGTGGAGAGTGTGTCCTACATGGGTGGAGAGTGTGTCCTACATGGGTGGAGAGTGTGTCCTACATAGGTGGAGAGTGTGTTCTGCCCGGGTGGAGAGTGTGTCCTACATGGATTGAGAGTGTGTCCTACATGGGTGAACAGTGTGTCCTACATGGATTGAGAGAGTGTGTCCTACACGGGTGGAGAGTGTGTCCTACACGGGTGGAGAGTGTGTCCTACAAGGGTGGAGAGTGTGTCCTACATGGGTGGAGAGTGTGTTCTGCCCGGGTGGAGAGTGTGTCCTACATGGGTTGAGAGTGTGTCCTACATGGGTGGAGAGTGTGTCCTACATGGGTGAACAGTGTGTCCTACATGGATTGAGAGAGTGTGTCCTATATGGGTGGAGAGTGTGTCCTACATGGGTGGAGAGTTTGTCCTACATGGGTGGAGAGTGTGTCCTACATAGGTGGAGAGTGTGTTCTGCCCGGGTGGAGAGTGTGTCCTACAAGGGTGGACAGTGTGTCCTACATGGGTGGAGAGTGTGTTCTGCCCGGGTGGAGAGTGTGTCCTACACGGGTTGAGAGTGTGTCCTACATGGGTGGAGAGTGTGTCCTACACGGGTGGAGAGTGTGTCCTACACGGGGGGAGAGAGTGTCCTACATGGGTTGAGAGTGTGTCCTACATGGGTGGAGAGTGTGTCCTACATGGGTGAACAGTGTGTCCTACATGGATTGAGAGAGTGTGTCCTACATGGGTGGAGAGTGTGTCCTACATGGGTGGAGAGTTTGTCCTACATGGGTGGAGAGTGTGTCCTACATAGGTGGAGAGTGTGTTCTGCCCGGGTGGAGAGTGTGTCCTACAAGGGTGGAGAGTGTGTCCTACATGGGTGGAGAGTGTGTCCTACACGGGTGGAGAGAGTGTCCTACATGGGTGGAGAGTGTGTCCTACATAGGTGGAGAGTGTGTTCTGCCCGGGTGGAGAGTGTGTCCTACAAGGGTGGAGAGTGTGTCCTACATAGGTGGAGAGTGTGTTCTGCCCGGGTGGAGAGTGTGTCCTACACGGGTTGAGAGTGTGTCCTACATGGGTGGAGAGTGTGTCCTACACGGGTGGAGAGTGTGTCCTACACGGGGGGAGAGAGTGTCCTACATGGGTTGAGAGTGTGTCCTACATAGGTGGAGAGTGTGTCCTACATGGGTGGAGAGTGTGTCCTACATAGGTGGAGAGTGTGTTCTGCCCGGGTGGAGAGTGTGTCCTACAAGGGTGGAGAGTGTGTCCTACATGGGTGGAGAGTGTGTTCTGCCCGGGTGGAGAGTGTGTCCTACATGGGTTGAGAGTGTGTCCTACATAGGTGGAGAGTGTGTCCTACATGGGTTGAGAGTGTGTCCTACACGGGTGGAGAATGTGTCCTACATGGGTGGAGAGTGTTTTCTGCGCGGGTGTAGAGTGTGTTCTGCCCGGGTGGAGAGGGTGTCCTACATGGGTAGAGTATGTTTCGTACCCTTGAGGGGAAGGAGTCGCCCACACCTCCAGTGATGAGAATACGGTAAAGTCACAAGTATTCCGGAACTCGAAAACCTGGAACACAATTACAGGATGAAATACAAATTTATAGACACATATATACATACATGTATAAAGACATATAAACATATATGAATGAACATATATATAGTTAGTTTTGTGTAATTGAAAATTGAAAGAACTGTTGTAAATTTTAGTGTCAATGTAACCATCACTCATTCAAGAGTTTCCAAAGCAATCTGTTTCTGGCTGATTTTGTGTAGAAATATAATCTGGTTCAATGACGCAACCACATGATCCGAGCAAGCCTAAAATGTTGTAAATATGTTTGTGTGTTTGTTTGTTTGTTGTTTAACGCCGCACTCAGCAATATTCCAGCTATATGACGGCGGTTTGTAAATAATCGAGTCTGGACCAGACGATCCAGTGATTGATATCATGAGCATCGATCCACACAATTAGGGTCGATGACATTTATCAACCAAGTCAGCGAGCCTGACCACCCGATCCCGTCAGTCGCCTCCTACGACAAGCATAGTCGCCTTTGCTATGTGTCTTAAAAAAGGAAAAAAAAATATTTGAAAGATAAGATTCTAAGATACCATCAACAGCTGTGTACTGTGTGAAATTTGTTTTTAATGTATGAAAGTTTTAAATCAACTGAAAAAAAACATAGAAGTATTATTCTTTGAGTGATGACTCAGTGCCGGTGTAGTTATTTTTTTATGTTATATAGTTCACCTTACGATATTTTAAATTGGAAGTCTAACATATTATCAAATCAACTGAGAGGTACAGTTTCTTTGGCTCTTCAGTTTGGAACTATTTTAGTAAATAAGAATTTAGTTTAACTTTTTGTGAGTTCATTGGTGTGTGAAGGGTCAAACTGTACGAACGGAGCTTGCGAGAAATAGATGTCGAATAGATATTGAGGCAAATCCATAGGCTGTTGCAGACTCTCATCATCAGTCCAGACACGGATCAAATCGACATAGTTTGGATTACATTTCTTCGTTTTGTTAAAATTAATGTGGCACAAGTTACGTTTAGAGGCAGGAAGCTCATGATCAAGACGTAAACCTTGAAATCTGACGTAATCGACAGAGCACGTTCACGTCATTGATCTCTGTGCCACGATTTCTTGTCAACCAGGAATACATGCTTGCCCTTTTCGAAAAATAACTATTGCATTTTTCAAATGAATTGACTGAGAGTAACGTGTAATTGATCAAACTACCTGGCCGTATGAATGTCAGTACTCCGTTTCACATTTTATCGCAAAACAGATTAAAATGGATGGCATCGACATCTAAACGTGATTCTATCTGATTCAAGCATGGTATTCCAAGACTTTAATGTACATATAGTCATGTGAACGAAATGAATGTTTTGCACTGGGAAAGCGGTCAAAATGGTTCAAGATTAAACAGCCTTTTTCATATAATAGCTGCCCAGATTAACCTCGAATAGTTCAATACCAAATTACACACACACTATGGAAACTTGATTTTGATAGCTGGCATTTTTCAATGCTAAAAAATATTTTGCATTCTGCTTTTTCTTTTATGACAAATCGATCTTAATTCCATTAATTTCATGTATCTATTATCATCATATATTTCAAACGTTTCCGTTTGTAGAATGGGATGAAAAGGTTCCCTCAAAACAAAGCAGTGGTAATACAATGAAGATGATTGTTTCATTAATGAGTTGCGTCCCCTAGGCACGCCAGAAACCTATGATTGTGGGTTAGAATCCCGGTTCGCCCCGATTATTTTCTAGGTTTTCCGTGCTCGTGAGTTTCACCGAACTGGTAAACGTCTGAGACCTGCATCACTTCGGGCTTTCCTCCAACATTAAACTGACACGCGGCGATATAACTGGAATACTGTTTAAAGCGGCGTTAAACCCAACTCACTCACTCACCACTTGTTTAATTAATAAAAGAGTGAGTGAGTGAGGTTTTACGCCGCTTTTAGCAATATCCCAGCAATATCACGGCGGGGAACACCAGAAATGGGCTTCACACATTGTACCCATGTCGGGAATCGAACCCGGGTCTTCGGCGTGACGAGCGAACGCTTTAACCACTAGGCTACCCGACCGCCCCCATTAATAAGAGCACTGACACTGAAACCTGTATGGACAGAACCGTCAAGTTTCCGTCAAGATAGTATTCATCTTAGAAACCGTCTGCGTATGAACGAATGACGACCGCTTCCGTCCATTTTGTCTCGAGATAAAAAAACACTGACAATTTCATCATGATTTTCTATCATCATTTGTTTTACGTCTATCATCATTAGGATATGTACTTTCTAATGTTTGTTTGTTTGTTTGTTGTTGTTTAACACCGCCCTCGGCAATATTTCATCTATACGACGGGGGTCTGTAAATAATCGAGTATGGACACGCACGCATGCATGCACACTCTCTATCTCCCACTTACATCAATATCTCTTACATCTGTGTATTCAAACACATTCTGAACACATTTTATGGGAGTCCCTTTCCAACGCTGACCGCTGGAGCATGTCATGACGGTGGAGTTGACGTCATCACACGTGGTGTAGTTGTCCCTGCAGGTGTAGGTCGCCACTGCCTGTGTGGCAGAGTAGGCGAGTGACGTCACACTTTCCTCCTCCACAGGGGGAGGGCCGCAGTGAAACGGTGACCACGCAGTAGCTGGAAGACAACATGTGAGTGAGTGAGTGAGAGAGTGAGAGAGTGAGTGAGTGAGTATGGTTTTACGCCCCTTTTAGCAATATTCCAGCAATATCACGATGGGGACACCAGAAATGGGCTTCACACATTGTTCCCATGTCGGGAATCGAACACGGGTCTTCGGCGTGACGAGCGAACGCTTTAACCACCAGGCTACCCGACCGCCCCAGAAGACTTGAGGTGAGGTTGCATTACATTGTGTTTGGACAGTGATTAGTTGTTCTGAATGTAGTACTGTTAAAAGTAAGCAGTTTTGAGGAAGTTACTATATTTAGATGCTAGTGTCTTGTGTGAACTTCCTGAATACCGTGGACTGATGTGGAATATTCTGTAATGTTCAAGTGCCGCTAGACTGGTGATGGCAATGTGTAGAAATTTCCAGCAGCCAGTTTGACTGTATATAAGGGGACAAGATCATGCCCCTCGTATCCCTCACACATTTTATCACATCAAGACTGATTTCGTGTGAGGATCACTCAGCACCTGGGCGAAATGATAGGGGAACGTTCCATTTTTGTAAAGTGCTTTAATTAACACTTCAGTACATTTGATAATGTACGGACACATTCACCATGGTGTAAAGAATTATATACTTACGTTTCAAGCTGCTCCCGTAAACCTCAACTTCACATAAGGTAAGGAGATCGGAGTTGTCTCTTCTTGCTTTGGGCACTATCTTCACATACCTGCCCAACACCTCCTCACCACAGACCAACCTCTCCGTGCTGTCTGGCTCCATGTCACCTTGATACAGATAGCAGACCTTGTCCTCCTCGCTGTGCCCACTCACTGAGATCTCGAAGTCATGGGGCTTTGTGTCTGAAACGGTCAGGGAGGACAGCATGAGACACCAAGCCGACTGAACTGAGGATCGGCTGGATACAAGTCTGCCTTGACGGACTATGTGTCATCGTGCTTCTACCACATGGGACCGCCTCCGTGGTCTAGTGGATAGCGCCTCTACCCAGGGAGCGGAAGGTTCGTGGTTCGACCCCCAAACGTCATAGCAAAAGACGAGTCACACAAAAGAAGCTTAAAGATGATACCCAGTCTGGCGCTCACCATTAAGGGGATAAAACAAGGACTGGTCGGCTCGGGGTCAGTATACTGTATATACTACTGATTGGCCTAATTCAGACTTGATTTACAGTCCATCATGATGTATTACCCGGGGCACGGGTGGCCCAGTCGTCTAAGGCGCCGCGATTCGCTGTGCATAGTTGCGTCCCTTGGGCACGCCAGAAACCTATGATTGTGGGTTCGAATCCCGGTTCGTCCCGATTATGTTTCTAGGTTTGTCAGCACCATACCTGTGCTCGTGGGTTTCACCGAATGGTAAACGTCTGAGATCTGCATTACTTCGGGCTTTCCTCCCACATTAAGCAGACACGCTGTGATATAACTGGAATACTGTGAAAAGCGGCTTTAAACGCAGCTCAATCACACTCACACTGATGTATAACCAGAATATTGCTGGTTGCAGCGTTAAACATTAACTCCACGCAAACCACAGTCGTCAATATAATATATGCATGTGGACAGCCTCACTACAGATAGTGTTCATGTTTTATTGGCGAATACGGCTAAATGGATCGGATCGTCAGACTAGATGACTTGGTTGATTGCGTGCTCATAATATCAATCACTGGAATGTCTTGTCAAGAATCGATTACTTACAGGCTGCTGTCTACAGCTGGACTATTGCGACCTTAAACAAACAGACAAGAAATCACAGATTACCGCATGGTTGAGAGGGGCACGTGCTGCTGCCGACGACGATGTCCCGGATGTAGTAGTAACCCTGTAAGTCTACCTCCCAAAATGCATCAGTGTCGTTCTCTGCATGAGACCAGCAGGTTTTGTTCGCGTCGCCGTCAACCATCCCCCCCGGCTCGGCTCCCGCGCCATTGGTGCTGGATGTGGCTGTTTTCTTCAAGGCAAGATTTGACGGTATCGGCTCTGAGAATAAGAAGGAACATCGTCATCCCTGCTAGATGATACCCATTTTATATTTTACATGTGAATGTGTTCCATGACTTGCATTTGAACCACAATCTCATTAAAATCAGATCCTAGTTCTCGCTGTCGGTAAACAAAGATCTGAGGACATCCCATTTCGGGTCACGTCAGAACGACCTTTCATCCGACCAATCAAAACGTCGCTTTCCAGATCATGAAATGGACAGTCGGAATGTGTTTTCTTATCATGCAACCTCGAAAACGTTAACACGGGGTATTCTTAACGACAGTTATGGCCCGTAACTGATTGACTGATTTGACTATTTCCGTCAAAATTATCGTCTATCTCTCGCTTCCGTGGGATACAAATTTGAACGAAGGAGGCGTTGCACAGTATGTGGGATTCACTGCCATTCAATGTCAACCATATATTAGACATTCCGGAATGGTCGTTTGTTCAGTTTTCAAATTTTTTATCGAGAACTGTGTCACAGATTTTTCAAGCGTAGTCTGAAATGGAAGTCGCCATGTTGAAACGAGTGCCGTAATGCTGCTTTCTAATTGGCTGATGCCGACTTCTTGTGAGTCATTTCAGTGGTCTGTCAAAGTTCTCGAAAGGTCGTTCTGACGTGACCCATAATGTGATGTCCTCAGATCTTTGTTTAGCAGCATTGAGAACTTAGATATGATTTTAATGTGATTGAATTGAACCATGGATTAGGAAAATACTCGATTTTGGTCAATCAGAGGTTATCAAAATTAATCACAATAAACCCACTCTTATTGAAACAGTCGATTTGACGGCCGCATTATCTCGGAAGGTAATGTTTCGAAAATAGTACTTCTTTTTCAGTCATTACGGTAGGCATAGTTAAATAAACATATTATTGTCTACAAAATACAAAGTTGCGGTTACTACAATAATCAAAGGATGTGTGGTAATACATAGAAATCCACAAAGCGAATATGTATTTCAAGTTTTCAGGACAACAGACGGCTTGCTATTTTCCACACGACTGTGACGTCATAGGTGTTGCAACACAAAGAGCGATATGACGTCACGATAGAGACAAGCTGTGTAGAACGAAACCTTTGCAAGGCTTGCTTAGATTAGGGTTGCCCACTTCATGTGAGTTTACGAAGTTGCCGTGCGACATCCTTTCAGTGCCTGTCATAAGTTCGAGTGACGTATCAGGGTGTGAATACACTGCTGGAGGAGATAGAGCGCCATAATTTGTTTAAAGGCTGTTGTCGGTGATTCCGTCAATTCTGATTGACAACCCACTCAAAACATTGGACTCAACCCATGCCGCTTCATTCAGTGTATTTGCTTACACCAAAGGGGTTTATCTTTGATTCTACCATGATATTGATGAATGCTTGATTCTTTTTTCATACGGAAACCCCTTTCAAATATATTAAGCCTTTTCACAACAAAAAAACGTGCGTATGAATACATTGATAGCCTACATATCGTTTCATAAAAAAATGGCTGCCAGTTCAAAATTAAAATAAATCGGTATCCACTCTACAGTGGGACTACATCAAATTTCAAAACACAGTAGGTTTATCTCCTAATTTAGTCATGGTAGAACGGGGATAAACACACTGTGTTTCCAATGTAGGTTAGTTTACCTGTTTTGTACCATGGATTTGGGGAATACTCGATTCTGATGGGTCAATCAGCGGTTTCAAATGACATTAACTACCTATGATTAAAACAGCTGATTTGACACATGTTCGGGTCGAAATTCGATTTAGCGAGGTTACATCTACTTGTCAACTAGATCTTGATTGCAAACACAGTATGTTTATCCCCTTCCTGGAGGTGTGTATTAATTTTTACACTGTGTTAATATTTAAATATCTTAAACATGTTTAATCATACAAAAATAATGGTGAAACTTCAGGTAGAATGTATTGGGATATCACTGAGGCGTGTCTTTGGACATTGTTGTTTCCTTGTATATCATTGTTTCCTTGTATATTGTTATTTCCTTGAATATTGTTGTTACTTTATATACTGTTGTTTCCTTGGATACTTTGGTTCCTTGAATATTGTTGTCTCCTTGAATATTGTTGTTTCCCTGAATATTGTTGTTACTTTATATAATGTTGTTTCCTTGGATTCTTTGGTTCCTTGAATATTGTTGTTTCCTTGAATATTGTTGATTCCTTGAATATTGTTGTTTCCTTGAATATTGTTGATTTCCTTGAATATTGTTGTTTCCTTGAATATTGTTGTTTCCTTGTATACTGTTGTTACTTTATATATTGTTGTTTCCTTGCCTTCTGTTGTTTCCTTGAATATTGTCGATTCCGAGAATATTGTTGTTTTCTTAAATGTTGTTGTTTCTTGTAAACTGTTGCTTCTTTATATATTGTTGTTTCCTTGTATATTGACGTATCCTTTTTAATGGTTGTTTCCTTGTCTATTGTTATATTGTCGACCGCTGATTCCTTGTCTATTGTTCACGTGCTGTATGATTTGGCGAGACACAATACCTACGTTTTACAGTATCTCTGCTCAAGGTCACGTACTATATGATTTGGAGAGACACAATTCCTACGTTTTACAGTATCTCTGCTCACGGTGACCCCTATCTGCCGGATGCTGAGACCAGCTACTGCTAGAGATCCTATACGGTGCGACATCTGGTAGTGGGGATAGTTCCAGATCAACACACCATCAACTGTAGCCTGAAACACGGCAAGAGTGAGTGAGTGAGTGAGTGGGCTCTGTGTGAGTGAGTGAGTGAGTGAGTGAGTGAGTTGGGTTTAACGCTGGATGGAATGAGGCCCGCAGTCACGCAGTTTATCAATTTACGAGAGTATGATGAGAGACCCAGAAACATAATCGGAGCGAACCGGGATTCGAACCCACAATGGACCGTCCTGGCGTGAGCAAGGGACGTAACTCTGCACAGCGCATTGCGGCGCCATGGACGACTGGGCCACCCTTGGATTGTGGACTAGATGAATCGTGGTTAAGACGTACACAGTGGACATGATCGCCTTACCTGAATGCTATCACTGTAAAACGTGAACACAAAATGGTACTCGGCGTCTCGCTGAAGGGCTGGGAAGTCAACAGATGTCGCTTGTTCAGGACTTCCGGTGTATCGTGTGAGGAATTCCCCCGCAGAGACCGCGTCAAACCCTAATCCGATTATCTCTTCGCTGGAGTTCTTCGTCTCCAGACTTACTTGGTACCTCCTGAAAAGTTCATGAGCTGATGGATAAAGGGATGGATGAATTAATGAACAAGCGTGTAGGCTTGCTCCAGACAATAAGTGTGTTGGTCAGTAGCAAAGCACAGAAGATAAAAAATGATCTCCTGTCTTCCTGACCTGCATTGCTAACGTACCGACCGTTACGTTTGTTCAACTATTTACTGTTTACATGTCGAACCCTCCGTTCATTCTCACTTACTTCAAACACGATAACCTGACACAGCTGTCGTCAGTTTGTATCCAAGATGACGTAACACGTCTCGCAGCTACCCAAATCAACTTTAAGTTCTTAAAACATTCGAGGCCTCAGTAATGATTTCAAAAAGGTTTATGGTAGACATTTAAAACAATTTGACGCATCAATGCCAAAACTGACGTCCTTTTTTATTTCCTATTTTGACTTGTACCAAATGTTCCGTGTTTCATAAGGCGAACAGTTAACTTGCCTTTGCATGTGTTTGTGACTGGTGCCACTGGTGGAGCAGGATACGCTCACTTTTCGCGAAAAACTGTTGTCATCACTATGATAGTGATTCATAAACACATGCTCATGATATAGTCGGAATAGTCTCTGCTTTTAAATTGTTTGACATGCATTACTTAGAAGTTGACGGATGACAAAGTAAACACAATTTATTTACCGTAATGGCGACGTTTCAGTAAAGATCCTACATAAGGATCTATACAGAAATGTCGCCTTTACAGTAAATTGTTTAAAGAAGTTGTTATCCACAAATTGTGATGACTTTGATTCTGTTTTTTAGCAGAGATTTCTATTGAATATGGAAAGGGTTTTGTCGTTGTTATTGACAAGGTTACAGCATCATCTACATGTACCATCGAGGCACGCCATGAGAATTGTTCTACGCCTTTCTAGCAATATCCCACAAATTTAGAGTGTGTGGGTATGGTTTTACGACGTTTTAGCAATATTCCAGCAATATCACAGCGAGTGACACCAGAAATGGGCTTCACATATTGTACCCATGTCGGGAATCGAACCCAGGTCTTCGGCGTGACGAGCGAACGCTTTAACCACTAGGCTACCCGACCGCCCCCACATATTTAGAGACAAGGGTGCTGTTGTACGAAACAGCTTAGCGCCACGACTGTCGTAATCTATGTTAAGGTATGGGAGTTACGAACACCTTAGTGCTAAGATCGCTTTGTACAACGGCACCCAGGAACACATGATGACCAAACACTTCACCCACCGGCACAAGGGTTTAGGGATACGAGGTTGATTTTGAGCGTTTTAAACTGGAACGGCAAACTCTTACATACAATTATTTTTTTCATTTGAGTGCTTGTTAATATTCCTGTGCACTGTAATTAATAAATACTTACGGTATACTCCCATTTGGCTTGAGCCAGGCTTCTATGCGTGTCCCGAGTTTAAAAGGGCAGCCAAAAATAACTGAAGAATTTTCACCCTGAAACTTTAACAAAATAGCTCGTTAGAGGATGACCTTTTCACAAGGGTAATCAATTACGATTGTTTAAATTTTCACTCTTCATATAAATTGCTATAACTTTGTATTAATGTGTCCTATAACATGAAATTGCGTACTTTAGCAGGAGCAGGATCCGCTGATTATGGGTTCGAACATCATAACCGCACCTACCATGATCCGTGGTTTGTTAGGACAATATACGTGCTCGTGACATTCATCAAAGCGTCTACGGCCTGTGTGACTCCGCGCATGTTAAGCTGAGAGTGAGTGAGTTGGGTTTAACGCCGCTTTTAACATTATTCCAGTTATATCACGGCGTGTCAGCTTAATGTGGGAGGAAAGCCCGAAGTGATGCAGGTCTCAGACGTTTACCAGTTCGGTGAAACCCACGAGCACGGCTATGGTGCTGACAAACCTAGAAACATAACTGGGGAGAAACGGGATTCGAACCCACAATCATAGGTTTCTGGCGTGCCCACGGGACGCAACTCTGCACAGCGAATCGCGGCGCCTTAGACGACTGGGCTACCCGTGCCCCCCCCCCCCCCCCCCCCCCCCCCCTCCCAGTCGTGATATAACTGAAATACTGTTCAGTGCGACCTTAAAGCGAATTCACTCACTCACACGGCGGCCTTAGAAACCTAGTCATGGTGGTTACCAATTACAACATCAAAATTATTATTTTTTACTTTTCGTCGGTAAAGGTAACATATTTAGGATAATGGCTTACATATTCCGTTAAGCATTTTAGAAAAGGTTGGGTCTGGGATTTAAAAAAAAAATATATAAAAGAAAACCGAAAACAGGAACAAGAATATTAATGTCCTGTTGCGAAAATAATGAATGTTTTCGCCTTCTGCTTTCACAGAAAAAATATTGCATGTTTTGAAAAAAAATACATCCTGCCTCTAACAAAACTCCCTTTCCAGAATGTTAAATGGAGGGTCTCCAACTCACCGAGATATTTTCAACAGCTTTCACACACGGGATTGGCTCTTCCTTCCACCCCAGCTCGCCTTCACATCGCAAGACGTTGTCGTAGTCGCTGCAGACTGTGTAGTTGCCATCGCACATGTAGGTCGCTATTGACGCGTTCAGGGTGTATGATATTTTCACAGACATGTTCTCAAGCACTGGGGGCATAGGGCAGTCCCTTGGGGTCCATTTGCGTACTGCTACAGCTGGGGGATATTGCAAGTTATGGACATGCTACAGACAATGCGAGATTAATATTTCAGATTTTGCATGTTTTGCATGAAAAAGAATTAGGATTTAGATGATAGAGTGATTGAATACTGCTCAGTACTCAGAAACATTCCACGACATCGACCTAGGACGTCGTGTTGACAGACATGACGACATTTGGACCTATGTATGTGTCACAACAGAGACGTAATATATCCTTTTAAATCGAGTAAACATGTGAGGTGAAATGGGGTTTAACGTCGCGCCCAAGACTATTGCACTTAAATAGCGACGTGCATGCACGTGTGTGTGTTTGTGTGTGATGCTTCTTGTACTAGTCCGGACTGATGCCGATTTATAGTGCTAGCACACTGAGATACCATGCCGCAGTTTAACATGAATACCCCACTCAGACACAGTATACTGACTCCGAGCCGACCAGTCCTTGTTTTACCCCCTTAATGCCGAGCGCCTGACAGGGTAACAACAAGTACCATCTTTTAACGTCTTTTGGTATGACGCGGCCGGGGATCGAACCCCGGACCTTCCGCTCTCCGGGCGGACGCTCTACCACTACACCACGGAGGCGGTCGCCATGATCATAGTGGACCCGTGAAGATCCGGGGTAGAATAGGTCTTCAGCAACTCATGCTTGCCGTAAAAGGTGACTATGCTTGTCGTAAAAGGCGACTAACGGGATCGGGTGGTCAGGCTCGCTGACTTGGTTGATGCATGGCATCGTATCCCAATGATGTCAATCACTGGATTGTCTGGTCCAGACTCGAG